GGGTGTCAGCTGTGCAAAGACCGAAGTTGGCAATTTCCGAGCAAAGGGCGGGCGAAGGGCACCGATCCGACGCGCAAGGTAGGAATGAGCTTGGAATATTAAAAGACACCATTATTGCAGGAAGGGAAACTGAGGTTCGGGGCTGGGAGTTCGCTGAGCTTCGGCTCAGGGATAGGGCGCTTGCCTAGCAAGTTCGAGCGCCAGCACTGCAAACTAAAAAACAACAACAAAAGTAAGAAATGCAGTTTCTCAGACAAAACGACTAGCCCTACAATGCGGTACTGGAGCCACCTAATGCCAAAGCCTAGGCTCCCCCAACGTACCACTGGACACGTATGAAGTCCCCGGTGCACAAACGACTCAGCAGAGATCGCGAGGCCCAGTTCATTCGGGGAGACCGACGCACCGCGAGACCAGAGAAGGGCGCGCTCCGGGAGGCACGGCGCCGGGGACGGGGATCAGGCCCGAGACCGCCCCGACAGGGACGAGCCGCGCACCGCTCTCCAATGCGGAGCCCGTGCGGTTGCGGGATCCGGCGCGCCGAGGACTGACGCGCGGCCTCCCGGCCGCCGGCGCCGCCAATCAGCGCGGAGCTGGACGGGAAGGGGCGGGCGCTCGGAGGCTCGCGTCAGGCCGCGCCGAGGCCGCCCTCGCCCCTCACAGGCCCCGCGGCCTCCTCACCCCGGCCCGAGGCTGGAGCGCCGCGAGGGGCGGCGAGGCCCGGGCTGAGCGCGCTGCCGGAAGCTCGGGACCGCATCCCGCCGTCGCCAGAGGCGCGGCCCTCGCGTCCTCGCGCTCACGAGTGCCTCCTATCCCCTCCCTCAGCCGCGTCCCAGGAGCCACCCGGCGAGGCCGTGCTCGCCCCGCGCCTCACCTCGTGGGGATAACGGGGACGGACAAGGGAATCCCAGCTGCGAACTGTAGCCGACACAACCCGCTGCGGACGCCACTCCGCCTCACATTCAAACCCCAGCAAAATGGCGCGGCGGCGAGGCTGCAACCAGAGCGCATGTGCGAGAGGAGCCGCGGCGGGGGGCGGAGCCAGGGAATGCCCCGGCCCCGCCCACGCTCCAAGAACCAATCGGAACTAGATTGTTTTGCGCTGACGTCATGAGGATTTTTTTGCCCTTTGACACCTCCAACACCTCCCGGGGTTTCCAGAGGGGAAGGCGGATCGGGTTTCCGACTGCGGGGCCGTGTCTGGCTGAGGACCGAGCTCAGTACCGCCGCCAGAGGGAACTTCCGGTCCCTCATTAGGCTTCTGTTTTACAGGTAGAAGAGAAACAAGAAATTTCTAGCCGGGCTCCGGTGCCTCACACCTGTAATCCTAGCTTCCCAGGAGTCTGAGATCTGATGATTATGGTCTGAAGCCAGTCCAAGCAGAAAAGTCAGTGAGACTCTTATCTCCAATAAACTACTTAGAAAAAGCTAGAGCCAGGCGCGAGTGGCTCACACCTGTAACCCTAGCTATTCAGGAGGCTGAGATCTGAGGATCCCTGTTCAAAGCCAGCCCAGGCAGGAGCACTCATGAGACTATCTCCAATTAACCACCAGAAAACTGGAAGTGGCACTGTGGCTCAAGTGGTAGAGCGCTAGATTTGAGCTGAAGAGCTGAGGGATAGTTCCCATGCCCAGAGTTCAAGACTCATGACTGACCAAAAAAAAAAAAAAAAAGCTGGAAGTGGTGCTGTGGATCAAGTGGTAGAGTACTAGCCTTAACTACAAAGAGGTTCAGGGACAGTGCCCAGGCCTGGAGTTGAAGCCCTAGGACCAGGAAAAAAAAGAAAAAACAAAAAAAAACACCTTGAAATTTAGTTACATCCTGTTAATTAATCCTTGTCCTTTTTCAGATTGTGAACCTGAGCCCAGCCATCCAAGCAGAGGGAAAGGCCTGCTGAGTTAGAGATAAAAAGGGAGCAGCCTGTCTACTCTGGGTGCTCACTTGTCAGATTTTAGACTGAGAGTGAGTGCATCCTTCTGCAGCAGTAAATTTTGCCATGCCCAAGTTCCTTTCAGGTGGTGCCCTTATTTCCTTTTGTTATTATTAATTTACTTTGTTATTATAGAGGTGATATACAGAGGGATTACAATTACCTGAGTCAGGTAATGGGTATATTTCGTTTTGTACGGTGTCCTCTGTCCCCTCCTCCTCTCGCAGCCCCTCCTCCCATCTCCACCCGTGAGCTGTGGAGTTCATCTATGTCCACTGAGCTCCACTGCTGCACTTTTTCACCTGGTGTCCATAATTCTTTTTTTTTTTATTGTGAAAATACTGTATAGAGGGGTTATAATTACATGGGCAAGATAATGAGTACATTTCTTATCAAGCATTGTAGCCTCCTCCTTTGGTGTCCATAATTCTTTTTTTTTTTTTTGGGTCCGGTTGTGGGGCCTGAACTCCGGGCCTGGGCACTGTCCCTCAGCTCTTCAGCTCAAGGCTAGCGCTCTACCACTTGAGCCACAGCACCACGTCCAGCTTTTTTTTCTTATGTGGTGCTGAGGAATCAAACCCAGGGCCTCAGGCATGCAAGGCAAGCGCCCTACCACTGAGCCACATTCCCAGTCCTGGTGTCCATAATTCTTATGGGGCACCCCAACAGCCTAAGCCAGCCTGCCTGCCTTTCTTCCTTCCTTTCTTCCTTTCCATCGGTCGTGGGGCTTGAACTCTGGGCTTGGGCGCTATCCCTCAGCTCTTCAGCTCAAGGCGAGCGCTCTACAGCTTGAGCCACAGCACCACTTCCGGTTTTCTAGTGGTTTATTGGAGATAAGAGTCTCACGGACTTTCCTGGCAAGGCTGGCTTTTAATTGTGATCCTCAGATCTCAGCCTCCTGTATAGCTAGGATTACAGGCGTGAGCCAGCAGCGCCCGGCTAGCCTGAGCCATTTCTAACAGTGAGATCCCTCCCTGGGTGAGACTGTTGGGGGAATCATTCTTGCAGTGGAAGAGTGGGCCTGGAAGGGGAACTGGTGTGCTAGGCAATGTTTAAGAATGGGCTCCAGAGCTTCACTGCAGGGCTGGGAACCCCACGGGGTTCTCAGGGCTCTGTTTCAGTAATTTGGTGGAGGACAAATGAGAGAGAAAAGCAAACAGTGTAATAGTGATGAGTGACTTTCCATGAAGTATTTGTGGATGGAATCCAGTGAAGTGTCTGAGAAAAGTGTCTTTTCTATCAAAGTGTGTCACTTTCTGGGAATTTTTCTTTTTTAATAATATCCTATTCTGCTTCTGTTAAGACATCCTGTTACAGGGGCTGGGGGTTTAGCCCAGTGGAAGGGCATCCGCCCGGCACGCACAAAGCCCTGGGTTTGGTCCTCAGCCCTGGGAAAAAAAAAAAAAAAAGACATCCTGTTACAAACAAGCTTATTTTTAGTTTTTGTTTTTTTAAAAAAGCTTTTACTCTCTTTAAAGTAGCCAATCATGAGCTAGGTTGTGAACCTGAGCTTACCCAATTAGAGCAGAGGGGCAGAGCCTGCTGCATTAGGGATAAAAAGGGATTAGTTCACCTGCTGTGTATGCTTGCTCACCACTATTTTGGCCAATGGTGTACCATTCTGTGCAGAAATTTTGCCTTGAGACCGTTCTTTGTTTTTCATGTCTTCACTTGACTCCAGGGTTTCTTGGAGAGCATTTTTATAACATGTCTCAGCCCAGGCTGTCTGGAACTTGAGAGTCTCCTGCCTCCTTTTTTCAAGTACTGGGATTATAGGTGTGCACCACCACAGCAGTTAATAAGTGGCATTGAACAAGATTGATTTGGCCATTCTTTCCCAGTAATCCAAGTATATTCTCCCTCATAAAATAGACAAGCGGAAGTATTTATTTTAAAAATAGCTAAGGGAAGGGATGGAGGGTGAGAATGTTGATCATAAACGGCTTTGTAAAATGGCAACTACCATGTACAACTATTTAATGGTAAAAATATGTGGTATACATATGTATGTGTGTGAAGGCTGAAGAATGCTGAAAGTGTTTCTCACAGACTTTGGGACCCTGCCCATGACCAGGCTGATAGAGCCTTGTCAGAAGCAGTAAGTGACTTAATTCCAGGGTTCCTCAGCCTGAGTACCATGACACTTGGGGCCTGGGAAATTCCTCATCATGGGGCTGTTTTGGCAGCATTTCTGGCCTCTCCCCACTAAGGTACCAATGGCCACTCTCACCCTCTTTGTGACAATAAGGAATGTCCTCAGACACTGCCAGATGGGCCATCTACTCCCTTGAGGCAGAACTGAGTATCTGGTTGGCAGCAGTTGAAGAGCATTGCTGTGGACCAAACCCTGATCCTATGTGATCTGGATACAATGGCTCTGGTAACCTTCCCCAAGAGGAAGGCTGCCTATTGTAGAAGTCCCATGGGACTTAAAGACTGGCACTACAAAGAGGACAGTCCAGAAGTTTCAGCAGTGGGTAGTTAAGACTTCACAGCTGTAGAGTATTTCAGAAAGAATGGGTTGGGAATCCTGAGGCGCAAATTGCATCCTGATTGAACCATCTTCCTATGCAAGCAATGTGAGAATGCCTTGGAACACCTCACAAACGATGGCACCCAGCTGGCTCTGTGGCTGGTCTACCCCAGCACCTCACCTCCAGCCAGGAAGTATTTCTTCTGTCCTCTTGTAAACCAAAGCCAATTCATTAATAGCACCAAATGGATTGATTCAGAGATATGTAACAATCTAGTCATGACTGAGTTTCCCCCCACTTTCCTTTAGAAAGAAGAGAGATTTATAAAAATGGCCAGGTGCTAGTGGTTCACACCTGTAAATCCTAGCTACTCAAGAGGCTGAGATCTGAGGATCACTGTTCCAAGTCAGAACAGGAGGAAAGTCCATGAGACTATATCTCCAGTTAATCCCAAGAAAACCAGAAGTAGTGCTGGTCGCTCAAAGTGGTAGAGTGCTAGCCTTGAGCAAAAGAGAGCAGGATGGTGCCTAAGTTCAAGCCCTGTAACCAACAACAAAAAAAAAAAGAAAAGAAGGAAGACCCACAATTAACATTCTCCCATTAATAATTATATTTATTTATTAAGTACAGTGGTCAAGTTTCACTGCCAACTGGAAACTTAGATCTACCACTAGAAGAAATTTAAAGTAATCTAAACTTATGGCTTGATAAATATTTAAAATTACTACATTAAAATCATCTTTACTTTTTACAATTTTATTGATTTACCACCTGATCAAAGCATGGGATATTTTAACAGTATTATACATAATATTTTTACATAGAAAACTTTACATAGCATTTCTTATTATATAATTCTGCTTTATTCTTTCAAAAATGTATACATCCACTGGGCAAGGAATGCTTTTCATTAAATTACCAATATTAAATGCACTTAATCATTAGGTATAGATTAAATCAAAATAGCTATTAACTACACTTTAGACATTTTAAGGTTAAAACATAACATTTTGCACATAAATATTTGACGCAAATATGTAGATAAAATTTTTTAAAAAATTAGAACACCGAAGAACTATACCTTTGATGAGTGTCACTTTTTTTGAGGGGCAAGGATTCCAGATAGATTCATTCTTTAAAATATCCAGCTTTGGTTTCTTTGATTCTCACACTGCAAAGCTGCTATTAGGAAAAGTGGGTTTCCTGTAAATGCACGCTACATCTGCCCTAACATAAACAGTGAGACAGAGCTGAGTGGGTCCCAGCTTTTCCCAACCCCAGATCCGACCCCTCTGCATCCAAACAACAAACATGAATCAAGCAGAGACATTGCAAGTCAGGGGCTCTTTTAGTAATGGCAGACAGCTACATGGCTAGCCCGAATCACAGAAGAGCGACAACATAATGTCTAGTTGTTTGGGGATTTTTTTTTTCTGCATTTCATACAAAAGTCACCTGTCAGAGGAAAAGGTTGTATTTCCAGATATACAATTTTCACAATGTGTGTTCTTTGGTTGTACATGAGGAATATAGGAAAAGGTGTATTTGACTAAAGGTGCAAAACAGAAATAAAACTTCCCATCCACTGTGTGTTGCTAAGATGCCAAAGCTGGGGATTTCCCTAGTACACTGATGAAGGAGGCCAAACTGCCCAAAGCAACAGTTTCTTAACAAAAACCCAGCACACATAATCCACACCAAAGCATCGTAAGAAGTAAGGCCTTGGAAATACTTCATTCTCCCCCAAACTGGGGAACCCAAACAGCATCCTGGCCCACTTCACCAGGATTGGATTTAGACTGAATGGCCTATCACTGGAGGTAAGGGAACTCCTATTTGTCGCTGACAACTGAACAAAGAAAAATTACCCTGAAAGGTGTTACCAGCAGTTTTTTTTTAAAAGGTCCCCTGTGGGTACAACTCAAATGCCTCACTCTGAAAGTGTATCTTTTATAAGACAAGATTAAAAGGGAGTTCTGGCCTGAATGTTTCCTGCAGTAATAAATATATGGACACATTCCCTGCCCTTCAAGACAGCAGAGAATGCCATGGCGGTTTGCACTGCAGGGAAGGAAAAACCACCAGTGCCCTGGGATGTGGCTGCAGGTACCATAAGCTCGGTGAGGAGCCAAACATGCGCAGCCTCCACCTCCACCTGTCATAGGAGAAGGGAATCAGTCTGCTCCCATTTCCCAATCACAGTAAAAGATTCTCCCACGGTCAAAATTGTATGCCAAATTACATAGCCTCTCCTAATCTATATAAAGTAGAAAACATTTTTTTTTCCTTTGGTAGACAAATACTTTTGGGGAAAGAAAAACAGTACTGCCAGCCCAAACCAAGCATTTCTCAGGCTGTTAAAGAAAAAAAAAAAGGTCCTTTAGTAAGCAAAAGCACCAGAAATCCTCTTACAAAGAAAAAATGTCTAATTTTACAGGTAGCTTTCCAAACTACTAGCTCTTAAGGCACCGGGGTTGACATCAGTACAAGCCATTTCTGGACCGACCCAAGTGGAAGTCTGATGCTTCCATCACTCTGACAATTTTCTTAGGTGAGCATAGAATACAGTGTGTGCTGCTCAGGGCAAAGAAGCTTCCACACCCATTGCTAGAAGGATCGCACACCCACTACAAGTGAGCTCAGTATCCTTGTGTGGCCCACTTTACAGGAGCTGCATCAGAATTGCTCTCTCCGCAATTCAGGACACTGCATCTGCATTGACATAGGACCCTGGAATCTCATCTCACCAATGAATTCAGCTCTTTGCTCACCAGACACTGCCTGCTCCTTCCATGGCAGGGCCAGCTCCACTCATGACCTGTGGCTGAGGCCACGGGAACACCTCTTCTCATGCAAACTTCCTGTCCTCCTCTCAAGGTCCCGCTAACGGGGAACTGTGCAAATCAGTGACACTCACCACCGGTACACTCACTGTCACTCTTCTGAGGTAAAAATAAAAAGGTGTGAAGGCCCACCTCCTATGTGAGATGTGAGCACGCGCAGTAGACAGGACCCTGGAACTCTTCGCTGAACACCATCTACAAATACTTCACGGAAGGTCACTATTACACTGCTTGCTTTTCTCTCTGACCTGTCCCCCCTCCCCCATGTTACTAAAACAGAGCCATGAGGCACTACATTTTCTTTAACCTTGCAAGCTCTTAATGCTAATTTAATTGCTAAACTGTGCCTTCAATCAAATCTTCAATAAGATCTTCTAGTAAAATATTTTAAATATCACTCAAACATTAACAAAATAAAACATAAAACTTAACAACCCTTTCTTTCCCTACCTTTCCCCAAACTAACCTAACTACAGCTGAGGCAGAATTGACAAAACAGTCAAACTTCTCTAACACACTCAAACAGCAACAAAAACCCAGCATATTTTAGGTGGCAGTCAGCCTTACAAGAAACTTTATTAACGTACTCTCTAGTGAACATGAACCTATACAGCTATTTTCAAGGAGAGTGACTTTCTCTGACAACACATTTACAGCCAGTCATGGGACTTTGCTAGGAAAAGGTGACATCTGCAGTGAAGGATTTGGTGGTTGGATCAGTAAAACGGAATGACAGATGAAAGCCTCCCACCCACTGTGTTCCACCCGCCACGTTCCTGGGTAGGCAACGGTGTAATGCGACACCCCAAGCCTCAGCTGGGGCCTGATGGGGCCAGGGTGGAAGACATTCTTATCTAGGCTGCTGTGAGCGCAGGAGGGCAGCTGCGTGTTCCTGTGTGCCTCGCAGACGTGTCAGGCCGAGACCGCATGATGGGTGTTCCACTAGGCAGAGGCTACCACACAGATGACAGGGCTGCAGGAGCCTGCGACAGCTCTTCTGGAATCCAAATCTTATACACAATGCCTATCCGTAGAAAGAACTTCCGCAGCACCGCTCGGAGCTCGGGGATCAGGTCAAACTGCATAATTTCACACAAGTAGGGGTAGTACATGGAAGCATGTGCTTTGAACTTGAGGTAGGAGAGAACCAGAGATGAAAATTAGACTTCGCACTAGTGTTTTAGCACCAGTTTTAAAAAAATGTTCACCTCCCTGAAATTTTTTTTTGTCGGTCATGGGCCTGAACTCTGGGCCTGGGTGCTGTCCCTCAGCTCTTCAGTTCAAGGCTAGTACTCTATCATGTGAGCCACAGCGCCATTTCGGTTTTTTTTTCTGCTTATGTAGTGCTGAGGAATTGAACCCAGGGCCTCAAGCATGCAAGGCAAGCACTCTACCACTGAACCACCTTCCCAACTCCTCTGGAACTTTTTTCTTACTATTAGAAACCTGTTAGTTAGAAAAGAGCTTCCACATTAAAACCAATTTTAATTATACTTGTATTTATTATCTACTTAACTTATTTATTTGGGGGGCTGGTCCTAGGACTTGAGCTTAGCTTCTTTTTTCTTCTTTGTTTGTTGGTCATGGGGCTTGAACTCTGGGCCTGGGCACTGTCTCTCAGCCACCACTTGAGTCACAGTGCCACTTCCAGTTTTCTGAGTAGTTTACTGGATTAAGAGTCTCACAGATTTTTCTTGCCCTGGCTGGCTTTGAACCGTGATCCTCAGATCTCAGCCTCCTGAGTAACTAAGATTACAGGTGTGAGTCACCAGCACCCGGCTGAGTTTAGCTTCTTGAGCTTGCTGAGCTCACTTATGGCTGCCATTCTACTACTTGAGCCACAGCTTCAGTTCTAGCTTATTGCTGGTTAATGGAGGTAAACATGTCTTGGATTTGTCTGCCTGGGCGGCTCCAAACTGTATCATTCCTTAGACTCAGCCTCTTGAGTCTAGGATTATAGGTATGAGCCAGACACCTGATTATACTTTTTTGTTTTTGTCAGTTGTGGGGCCTGAACTCTGGGCCTGGGCACTGTCCCTCATTCAGCTCAAGGCTAGCGCTCTACCACTTGAGCCACAGTGCCACTTCTGGCTTTTTCTGCTTATGTGGTATTGAGGAATTGAACCCAGGGCCTCATGCATGCAAGGCAAGCGCTCTACCACTGAGCCACCTTCCCAGCTCCCTGACTATACTTTTAATAATTAGTTTTGTAAAGCAAGTTTCCAGGCTTAAACCAGCACTCCACAACCTCAGCCCTCCCTTCCTGCACTGAGAATCACTAACTGTCCCCAACAGCCACCTATGTGGCTGACACTGTGATCTTTCTCAACTAGGGTTCCTCTAAGTAGAGGTCCATATCCAAAGGCCCTTATTTTGGTTTATCTGTAGTGCTTGTACAATGGTGCTAGACATGCTCCATCCTTGCAAGATAATGAAAACCCCCAACTTTCTGCCCTAGAGTAGACATTGAACTCCACCGTCTATACCTTCTCATCATTGATTTTGAGGGTTTTCGTTAGCAGTAACAACAGGAGACTTGTCCAGGCCTCTCGATGGCTTTCAGAATTCACCGTGATGAAATAGGCAAGAGCTTCACTGCACACACTAAATTAAGAAAGAGAACAGATTAAAGCCTGAACTCAGTGGTCAGCTCTTGGGTCTTGCAGTGAGTATCTACTGAGTACCAACACTGGGTGGACTGGCCGGGGCAAAGCACTGAGTCCTAGTTTCTTTATTTTTATTATTTATTTATTTATTTTATTTTATTTTTTTTGCTGGTCGTGGACCTGAACTCTGAGCCTAGGCCCTGTCCCTCAGTTCTTCAGCTCAAGGCAAGCGTTCTACTGCTTGAGCCACAGCGCCACTTCCGGCTTTTTCTGGTTATGTGGTGTTGAGAAATCGAACCCAGGGCCTTATGCATGCAAGGCAAGCACTCTACCTCTGAGCCAGCTTCCCAGCCCATCTTTTTTTTTTTTTGGTCGGTCGTGGGGCTTGAACTCTGGGCCTGAGCGCTGTCCCTCAGCTCTTCAGCTCAAGGCTAGCGCTCTACCACTTGGGCTACTTCCAGTTTTCTGAGTGGTTTACTGGGGATCACAATCTCATGGACTATTCCTGCACTGGCTGACTTTGAACTGTGATCCTTAGATCTCAGCCTCCTGAGTAGCTGGGATTACAGGCATGAACCACTAGGTGGATTGCCAGTATTTTTAAACCAGTTGTATATATACATTTATGTATATCCTTTAGAGAAACTTTACAAGACTATGAAGGTAATTCTCTTTTGGGCTTGCTCTAATTAAGCCAGGTATAATGGTGCACTCCTATAATCCCAACACTTAGGAGACTGAGGTAGGAGGATCACAGTTTGAGATCAGCCTGGTCTACATATCGTTTGATGTTAGCCAAGATTAAAAATACTGTCTCAAAAACAAAACAAAAAATAAAGAGAAAAATGAATCCCTGATGTCCTCTTTAACTGAATCTCTCTTAGCTACGCCTAGTTATGCATTCTCGTGTAAGGCAACTGCAAAGTATGCAGGATAACGAAGAGAAAGAAGCAAAATGGAAAGGGAAAAGTTATGATTCTAGGGGCTATATGATGACATTCTGGCATATTTTTCTTTCTAGGTCTTGTTTTTTCCCCTTCACAGTGCTGGGAATGGAAGCCAAGGCCTCATATATACGAGGCCAGTATCCTGTCACTGAGCAGCAGCCGTCAACCCTGAAAAGCTCTGAATTTAATGGATATAAATATTCCATTGTAGGAGTTACCATAGTTTAGTTATCCATCCACACTCATGCTGTTCATTCGCTTTCTATTTATAAATTAAGTCTACATGGGAGTCCGGGTTCGTGTTTCTGAGGGATTTACATAGTAGATTTCCTAACAATGGAATTACTGAGTCAAAGAGAATTTTCAGGCCTGAATATAATCTGCTTTCCAGAAAGATCATGTCACTGTACACTCTCACCAGCTGGGCAGGGGATTTTTGCCTTACTAAATGGCTGCCATTATAGAGTGTTACTGGTTTTAAATCTTAAACATGTAAAAGGAGGCTCCAGGACAAAGGTTTAGCTCAGCACTTGAGGCCCTGGGTCCCATCCCAGGCAATAACCCAACCAAACAAAAACAATAACACATGAAACAGTGAAAATGTAGAACTCAAGAATGAAATGTGACTAAAGTAAGCAATGCCCAATGCCCAGTAAGCAGTGGCCAACACCTACTTTTCTGCCAGGCCTTTCTCACCGGTGCTTACTGCCCCCCTGTCTCTGCCTGTTGGCACCACCGAGGCACGCAGGTCCTGGTACCCATGTGACTCTAACTCATCCTTCTCAGAAAGAAGGAAGGACAGGCTGCCAGAACTGCCAGCAACCCTGAAGAGGACCTCCTCCCAAGGCCTCAGAATGCGAGCTAGAGTCAGCATTGGTCTCTAGCCTGCGGACACCATGGTCAGAGCACTTTCCCTGCCCGTGACGGTACCAGAGGAAGTCCTTGGAGAAGCAAGCGAGGCCCTGTCTTGTCCTCAGGAAGAGAATGGTGAAAGAAAACAGTTTGTGGGGTGTCTGTATTTTTCTTCAATTCTTCAATTGACAGTAATGGGATGGATATTGTATGTGACAGACAAAACTTAATGACAAAGCAATCTTACGTTAAAAGTCGCTGCTGGATTTCACCCCAGGAATCCCTGCGGTTCTCATCCACATACATTCGAAACAGGATCCTCAAACAACAGGCCAGGCTGCTGGTTTCTTGTTTGAGAAGATTGGGCTTAGATTTGCCTTTAAAGCCTAGAGATGAGAAGGTCATCAAAGTACTGCCTGCTGCCAGGCTCAGCGGGAACCCTGTGCTACTTTACCCCCTCAGCTCAGTGGTAGTGCTGGAGATCAGCCCTGCCTCTGCAGAGCCACCCTCCACGGGGCCGCCCCATTCCTCCAATTAGTTTTGCTGGATGGCTGTGAGCGCCATGAGTTTCACCTTTTTAAACCTAATAGCTCTTAAGAATTCTGGCACATTTTCTAAGCTGCACAATTTCTTCTTCGAACAGTACATGAGAACATAGTTCTTAGAACAGCATTATTAGCCAGCCAAAGAGATGTGCAAAAGCACTCTCATAAACAAAATCTTTATTAGAGCAGACATAAAGCTTTGGGGATTTTAAAGCCACAGAAAAATCTTCTCTTTAGTTGTACTTTAAAATGGCATTTAGAGAAAAGACTAACAAAAATTACATAAATATACTTATGTGTGAAGTTTAAATAATGAGAATTTCCCTAGCCTTGGGGAAAAGTATCATATAAAAGTGTTTGCCTATCTTTAGGATTTATATATTTGTTTTGGAGGTAGGAAGGAGTGAGGAATTCTAAAGCCTCAGGAGACACATGACTGGTTTGTTCTCAACTTCCATCTTTTCATATCATATTTAACTTTGAATGTCCAATTTCACAACTTGAAAGGTGAAAGTTCTCTAACTTCCACCAAATACTTCCTGAGACTCTATCATGTGCCAGGCACTTTCCTGGACCTGGGATGACATCTGTCTAGCATCAAGCACAAAACTGCCTAGAGTAATTCATAAATACTTGGCCAACATGTGGCTGAAGTTTGTGTTATCAACACAGCCTTCATAGCATAAGTGGAGTCTGTGTATTTACAAGTATTTTGCTACAACAATGTATTCTTCTCTTTACTTCATAAACATAATGGGTTATGTTAAAAATACCCCCATCTCCCAGAGGCTTTTATGCTTTAGGATGGGGACCAGTGTGGTCACCAGCCACACTGTCTGCTGCATTCTACCTGCTCGCCACAGGACGGTCCGCTGCTCATAGTTGGAGTTGAAGGCCTTGGAGAATGAATGGGATTCCTGCAAGCAGTCCAACAGCTTGAAGAGGTGCTGGGAAGACATGTGCTTGTACATGCCCTGGTCCTCCGTCTCGATGTGGATCTCTGCCTCCAGTGTGTCTTGCTGGGGGGAGAGGGAGGAAAGTGAAGGCGGCAGAGTGGTGTAGGCACTGTGGTGGTCCTCTATGAAGCCCATGCAGTTTCCCAGTCCCTGTGGCCATTCTCACTTAGACTTTGCCTGGAAGCTTGGAGTTTTTGTTTTTAGTTCCACTGTGGCAATGGCAAGTGACCAATGTATCGTCCCTGCATGCAGGGTTGGAAAGAGATGAGCAAGGTGGGCTCCAAGGTGAGCAAGCCTCTGGTGGAATGGAGATGCGCCACCCTGGCCCAGGCCTGTAGTGGGCCCAGGCCGGCAGTGGGCCCTGGCCTGTGGTCATTACCTGGGCAGCAACCATGTGCTCTGCGTCCTCCTTTTTGCTGGTCGCAGGGTAGAACACAATGTTGTCAATGGTCTGAATGAGTTCCAGCTGGACCACACACTTGATGAGGAGGCTGGCAAACAGTTTCTGATCTATATTAGATGATAAAGGTTAACCCTAATAATGACTCAGCCAATAGCGTATAAATGCCCAGTGAGCTCCCACCACATGCCCGAGCTGCAACACAGAGCAGATGTCCTGTGGCACTGAGAGTAGCCCTCTTACTAGAAGAAATGTGTCCCCACTTCCCCCAGCTCACCACCTCAACCAGGCTGAGGAAGAAGCAGAGCCTTGCACCCTGCTCTCTGGAGGCAATGGGCTATGTGGCAGCCACTAAATGATGGCGCAGCAGGGGCTTTTTTTTAATGAATCCAGAGTGGCTGCTTTTATTCCTTCCGAAGCTAATGGTGACCCCATTTTTTCTATTGTGGTACTCCAGAAATGAACTTCACTTGGTGTTTGGACCTCAGGCAGAATGGACCGCTACAAAGACACAATGGACTACATGACTTTAAAAGGCCAGAAGAACACTCTTCAGTATGCCAGAGTGTGTCTAGACCTCAACTCTAGGGCACAATGGCAAGTTAGACCCAGTCACTCAGATATGCAGCAGTGCCTTCCCAAAGGCTGCTGAAAGGAGTAACAAGAGATCACACACATGAAACACAGCACACTGTCTGGCACACGACAGGTGAATCTGGTTTTCAAAATGGGAGATGCTAGGGGCTGGGAATGTGGCTTAATGGTAGAGTATTTGCCTAGCATGCACGAAGTCCTGGGTTTGATTCCTCAGTACCACATAAGCAGAAAAAGCCAGAAATAGTGCTGTGGTTCAAGTGGTAGAGTGTTATCCTTGAGCAAAAGAAGCTCAGAGACAGTGCCCAGGGCCTGAGTTCAAGCCCCAGGATTGGGAAGTTAAAATAAATAAATAAATAAAAAAAGGGAGACGAGATGTCAGACCAACATTAAGAGACAAAAATGCAAAAGTTAACTTGAAACTTAGATCCATCCAGAAAAAGGATTTTTTAAATTTTAATTTGTCAGTACTAGGGCTTCAACTCAGGACCTGGGTTTTTTCACTCAAGGCTAGTGCTCTATCACTTGAGCCATAGCTCCACTTCTGACTTTTGGATGGTTAATTGGAGATAAAAGACTCAGAGATTTTTCTACCCTGTGCTGAGATGGAAATGTGATCCTCAGATCTCAGCCTTCTGAGTAGCTGGGATTGTGGGCATCAGTCACCAGCACCCAGCTCCAGAAAAAGGATTTCTAATGCATAAGGGGCACTTCAAAACAACAATAAAAGGGTCAAAAACCACTACAGAATGAGCAAAGATTGTGAACACAGAAAATAGAAGTGTTCTTAAACACGGGAAACTGCGCAATAATCATAATTTAAAAAAAAACTACAGCCGGGCGCTGGTGGCTCACGCCTGTAATCCTAGCTACTCAGGAGGCTGAGATCTGAGGATCGCGGTTCAAAGCCATCCCGGGCAGGAGAGACCATGAAACTCCTATCTCCAATAAACCACCAGAAAACCGGAAGTGGCACTGTAGCTCAAGTGGTAGAGCGCTCGCCTTGAGCTGAAGAGCTGAGGGACAGCGCCCAGGCCCAGAGTTCAAGCCCCACGACCGACAAAAAAAAAAAAAAAAAAACTACAAATTAAGTTACTCAAGAGACCAAGTTCACCTATGTGTTTCTGAGTATCATGATATCTCTAACAGACCACCATTTGGAAATATGTCTCACGCTGGTGGCGTGGCCAAGCAGTACAGCACCTTTCTAGCAAGCTCCTGGGTTCATACTCCAGTTCCACTCTTCACAGCCAAAATGGCATGTGTTTGTTTTAATTGTTTTGTTTTGTTTTTGGCAGTAATGGGATTTGAACTCAAAAGCTTCTCATTTGCTAGACAGGTGCTCTACGACCTGGCAAATGCTCTTCTTCACCCAACCCACAATTCTATTTCTGGAATTTACTATCTTATGTAAACTAATGACATAAGCATTATTTTATGTAAACAATACTGCTTGTAGCAGCAAGAGACCAGCAATGTATATTAAACAATAAAGAAACATTATTAGGGGCCCAGTTAAAGACACAAGAACAGGGGCTGGGAAGGTGGCTCAGTGGTAGAGCGCTTGCCTTGCATGCATGAGGCCCTGGGTTCGATTCCTCAGCACTACATAAGCAGAAAAAAGCCGGAAGTGGCGCTGTGGCTCAAGTGGTAGAGTGCTAGCCTTGAGCTGAAGGGCTGAGGGACAGTGCCCAGGCCCAGAGTTCAGGTCCCACAACCGGACCAAAAAAAAAAAAAAAAAAAAAAAGACACATGAACAGACTATTACAGAACCTAAATAGTCTAACAGAATGTGGAAATTCACTATGTATTGAGTTTAAATGCACTAAAAATGAAAAAAATTCATAGTAATCCATAATTTGTATAAAAAGGAAAGGAGAACTTCAATACGTATGTCTGTGTGTCAATGTGAACACACTTGCTTGTGGGCACAGGAAGGGAATGGAGCTTGGGGCTCAGGGGTACTTGGTTCATCCTATTTACCCCTTGGTGCCTTCGGAACATCTGAATCCCATAAAGTGTCAATGATGAAGACAAGCAGAAGGAAAAGGGCTTACTTGCATATGGTCTCCCCTTCCAGCTGTCATCTGTTGGGTTGGAGAGCTGGCTCTGGCCTCTCTCGGATGCATTTTTGTCTATGCTGCTTAAAGACTGGCGGTCTAGATCCACATCCTAGAGGTAAACCAGAGAAAACCATAAAGCTCACTTTTCTTCAGTCCCCAGGCAGAGATTTGAGGTTTTAGTACTCACAATCCAGCTTTCATTTAAACTTCACATTTTTCTACATCAATTCAGGATATTTTTCTACACTTTTATATAATGATGAGTGTGACAAAGTTTTTTTATTAGATCAAATTCAAAATTAAATTAGCAATGTGGTATCTAGGGTTTTTGTTTTCTTAGTGGTGGTACTGGGGTTTGAACTTGGGGCCTTGCAGTTGCTACATAGATGGTCTACCACTGGAGCCACCCCACCAACTTTTTTTTTTGGGTCCAGTCGTGGGACCTGAACTCTGGGCCTGGGCGCTGTCCCTCAGCTCTTCAGCTCAAGGCTAGCGCTCTACCACTTGAGCCACAGCGCCGCTTCTGGCTTTTTTTTCTTTTTGCTTATGTAGTGTTGGGGAATCGAACCCAGGGCCTCATGCATGCAAGGCAAGCGCTCTACCACTGAGCCACCTTCCCAGCCCCAACCCCACCAACTTTTAAGTTGCTGTGTACTACAACTACATGCCTTTTAAAATCTATATTCTAGAAAGTGCTGGTGGCTCACACCTGTAATCCTAGCTACTCAGGAGGCTGAGATCTGAGGATTGTAGTTCAAAACTAGCACAGGCAGGAAAGTCTGTGAGACTCTTTCTCCAATAAACTACTTAGAAAAAGCCAAAAGTGGCACTGTAGCTTAAGTAGTAGAGCACTAAGCTTGAGCAAAAGCAATTCAGGGACAGAGTCTGGGCCCTGAGTTCAAGTCCCAGGACCAGCAAAAATTAAATCAAAATAAAATCTATAGTCTTATTTGGGAATAAAGCTAATCCAACTTTCTATTACTATCCAGTAAATGAAAGCATTCCAAAGTGAAATTTGAATTAGAGCTTCTTATTATTTATCTTGTGGTACTATGTTTTTATTTAATTAATTTGTTTTTGTCTGTTGTGGGGCTTGAACTCTGGGCTTGGGTGCTATCCCTCAACTCTTCAGCTCAAGGCAAGCACTCTACCGCTTGAGCCACAGCACACTTCCAGTTTTCTGGTGGTTTATTGGAGATAAGAGTGTCACGGACTTTCCTGCCCAGTCTGGCTTTGAACCGTGATCCTCAGATCTCAGCCTCCTGAGTAGCTAGGATGACAGGTGTGAGCCACAGGAGCCTGGCAGATGTTTTTATTATTTAACTCAGGGCCTTGTACTTGCTAGACATGTGCTGTTCCACTGAGCCACCCCACAACCCTTAAACTAAAACTTCTTTATATGGTCTCACAGAAAAGACCACCATAGTTTCTTTAGTGGGCAGCAGAGCACTTTTAACTTAGGATTCCAACCAAAAGGGTCATCTCACAAGTACTATTTTTTTCCTATTTTCATTGTTGCAAATAATCTATTTCGACCATATTGAACCACCTTCATTCAAGGTGCTGCTTTAACAGTGTAACATTAAAACTAACCCCAGAGTCTATGATAATGAGAATTTGTTACAGAAATTATAATAGGAAAAGCATTTCTCAAAGAATAGTAAGAAGGAAGAAGGTGGACAAGTGCTCCAAATGCTAATGCATTATGTGGGCACACACAGACACAGAGAGCAAGCTAGAAAGTCAACCGTGATTTATACTGGGTAAGAAGAATTCTTTGGAAAATATGTTCCTGGGGCTGGGAAGGTGGCTCAGTGGTAGAGTGCTTGCCTTGCATGCATGAGGCCCTGGGTTCAATTCCTCAGCACCACATAAGCAAAAAGAAAAAAGCCGGAAGTGCGCTATGGCTCAAGTGGTAGAGCGCTAGCCTTGAGCTGAGGAGCTGAGGGACAGCGCCCAGGCCCAGAGTTCAGGCCCCACGACTGGACCTCCCCCCCCCCCCCCCCAAAGAAAAAAAAGAAAAATATGTTCCTGTAATTTCTAACCAATGGTAGCTAACATTGATCCTAGATGTTACAACCTGTCTCACTGACTTCCCATCAGAAAGTGCAAATCACTTAGGCTGACTCAATCTTTTATTGAGATAGAAGAAGGAAAAGATGACAACAACATCATCCTACCAAATGTTTTTCAAATGGCTCTTCCTCCATCCCTGCAGGTCTCCACATCAGCAACCTAATGGAATGAGAGAGAAAGAAAACGTGAACACCAAGGTCAACCGCTAAGGCCACCTGGTGCATAAGAACCAAACCTAACAACTGCACTTTACTTACACATGCGGGATGGTGGTTTTGAAAATATCCAACATACAGTTGCACGTTTCATCCCAGACTTCAGGACTGAATTTCTCTCCATTGGATATCACTAAGTTCTCTAAGCAATTGGTACCTGATCGAGCCAACTGTTCATTATCTGCACAACAAAACATTAGGAGACATGAAACCTTAACTCCTGCTGTGATGCCCAGGGACCCAAGGGCTGCTACTGTGAGGAGAAGACTGAAGTTGAAGGTTTGTAGGCTTTTAATTAATGAATCAAGGCTTCAAAGAGGGTGAAAATTTTACAGTTTAAATATACTTATCTTGTTTTATTGCTAGGGATGGAAGACTAATTTTTCATTACTTTAAATAGCTCACATTGGAGAAATAGCAAAATATGGATCTATGAGACCAGTAATTCATGTTACATTTCCAATTTTTGCCATGTGAATACTATCAACTCTTTTGAAATTTTCTTTAAATTAGATGCATTTGTTGAAAAATCTAAGTTTAGCCTAAGACAATAATCCAGGCGCGGCACCAGAGGGGCATCTTCTTCACCGCATAATAAATTGTGACACTGTTCCTCCCCCTCCAAAGTACTTCAGAAAAACATCTTACTATCGAAAAGTTCCATCATACACTACTAGAAATAGAATAATGCCCAAAGGCACATCTTTTAAAATATAAAAAGAACTACATTCCACCTTAAAGAAGTGCTTTATGAGCTGAGGGGGGCCCGGGCGAACTGATATGCTGTTACTTCTTTGGCAGTACACTCTCACTTACATATTGACACTGTGTAAGACACATCATGCTAAACACTTAGAGAATACCTTGTTTAACACACCACTGCAACTGGGCAAACACATCAGAAAGCAGCACTTCATTTAAAGCTTCATAAAACTGAGTAAATACATCACAAATAGCATACAGGGCATGATTGCATGTTGTCGTCATCCATTCGGACTTCTGAAAAAATGATAAAAAGATAATCTTAAAAGCCACTTTCAGCACTGAAATGGATAGTTTTGGATATTATCATGACAACTACTTTGGAAAATGAGATATATATATATATATATATATATATATATATATATATATATATATGTCTTAAAAATGTTCCCTTAGCCTGGCGCTGGTGGCTCATGCCTGTAATCCTAGCTACTGAGGAGGCTGAGAGCTGACAATTGTGGTTCAAAGCCAGCCCAGTCAGGAGACTGTTATCTTCAATGAACCAACAGAAAACCAGAAGTAGCACCTATGGCTCAAAATGGTAAAGCACTAGCCTTAAGCAAAAAGCTCAGAGACAGCTTGGCGCTGGTGGCTCACACCTGTAATCCTAGCTACTCAGGAGGCTGAGATCTGAGGATCGCGGTTCAAAGCCAGCCCGGGCAGGAGAGACCGTGAGACTCCTATCTCCAATAAACCACCAGAAAACTGGAAGTGGCACTGTAGCTCAAGTGGTAGAGCGCTTGCCTTGAGCTGAAGAGCTGAGGGACAGCGCCCAGGCCCAGAGTTCAAGCCCCACGGCCGACAAAAAAAAAAAAAAAAAAGCTCAGAGACAGTGCCCAGGCTTCAAGTTCAAGCCCTACAACCTACCAAAAAAAAAAAAAAAAAAAAGTTAGCCAGTGGCCAATGGCTTATACCTCAAATCCTAGCTACTCAGGAGGCTGAGATCTGGAGTACAGAGATTCAAAACTAGCTCAGGCAGAAAAGTTTGCAAGATTCCATCTCCAATTAACCAGCAGCCAGATTGTGGGCATGGCTCAGCCATGAGCAAGAAAGCTGAGAAAGACACTGAGGTCCTGAGTTCAATTCCTGGTACTGACTGGTACCAAAGAAAGCAACCAACCAACCTAGAAACTAAGTGTCAATGCATTATAGAAATCTACACTAGGAATATTTTGCAGCCATTAAAAATATGGTAGAGGGCTGGAATGTAGCTCAGTAGTAGAGTGTTTGCCTAGCATGTATGAAGCCCTGGATTCGATTCCTCAGTACCATATAAACAGAAAAACCAGAAGCGGTGCTGTGGCTCAAGTGATAAGAGTGCTAGCTAGCCTTGAGCAAAAGCAGCTCAGGGACATTGCCCAATCCTGAATTCAGTCCCAGGCCTGGCAAAAAAGAAAAATGATAGAAAATAGTGTTGTTAAGAAAGTAGTGTGGCTCTAACAACAACAGATGCTGGAGGGGATGTTGACAGAAAGGAACCTTACTTCATTGTTGGTGGGAATGTAAACTTGTTCAACCACTTTGGAAAGCAGTATGGAGGTTCCTCAAAAGACTTCACATAGAGCTCCCCTATGACCCAGCAATCCCACTTTTGGGCATTTACCCTAATGTTTACAAAAAAGACCACACTAAAGCTACCAGCACAACTATGTTTATTGCAGCATTATTTACCATAGCTAAGATATGGAACCAACCCAGATGCCCCTCAGTAGATGAATGGATCAAGAAAATGTGGTATATATACACAATGGAATTCTATGCCTCCATCAGAAAGAATGACATTTCCCCATTTGTTAGGAAATGGAAAGGCTTGGAAAAAATTATATTAAGTGAAGTAAGCCAGGCCCAAAGAAACATAGGTCCCATGGTTTCCCTTATTTGCAATATCTAGTATAGGTATGAGTCAAGCGGAAAAGGTCAGATAACGTGATGTTAGGAAAACGAACCCTTAAATATGTATTTTAATGTTTTTGTTTCTTTCATGCATGTGTTTCTAACGCATTTATAAGATTATTTCTTTGTTGCTTTGTATGTCCCTCCCCCACAGTGTAACCCCCGCTTTCACTATATTTGATGCCAGTATAACATGTGGAGGAGATGGGGACAAACAAGTCGTTTAAGGATTCAGGTGGACCTGTTGCAACAATGAGAAGTACAAAATGTCATGTCAAAACCAGCTTTACAATGTCGGTGTGTGGGGGGGAGGAGGGGTATGATTGGGTGGGGGGGAGGGGGGAGGCTGGGAAGGGAGGTGAAGGGTAAACAAAGGAGGAGGCTGCAATGCTTGGTAAGAAATGTATGCATTATCCTGCCCATATAATTGTAACCCCTCTGTACAGTATGTTCTCAAATAAAATAAATTAAAAAAAAAAAAAGAAAGTAGTGTGGGGCTGGGAAGGTGGCTCAGTGGTAGATTGCTTGCCTTGCATGCATGAGGCCCTGGGTTCGATTACTCAGCACCACATAAACAGAAAAAGCCAGAAGTGGCACTGTGGCTCAAGTGGTAGAGCTCTAGCCTTGAGCTGAAGGACAGCGCCCAGGCCCAGAGTTCAGGCCCTATGACTGACCAAAAAAAACAAAACCAAAGAAAACAAAACCAAACAAAAAAGAAAGTAGTATATCTGGGTGTGCTGAATTCCCACCTTTGTAAAACAAACAGCTAAATAAATAAAAATGGTAATATATCACTGATGGGGTTAACAGTGGTTGCCTATGGAAGACTGGGACTGTGGATGTCTAAATTTTGTATTTTTGCCTAGTTTCTCATTCTTCTGTAACAAATATATATATATTTTTTTTGTTGTTGTTTTTTTTTTTGTCGGTCGTGGGGCTTGAACTCTGGGCCTGGGCGCTGTCCCTCAGCTCTTCAGCTCAAGGCTAGTACTCTACCACTTGAGCTACAGCGCCACTTCCCGTTTTCTGGTGGATTATTGGAGATAAGAGTCTCACGGTCTCTCCTGCCCTCTCTCCTGCCTGGGCTGGCTTTGAACCACGATCCTCAGATCTCAGCCTCCTGAGTAGCTAGGATTATAGCCGTGAGCCACCAGCGCCCGGCTACAAATATATATGTTATATAATGAGGAAAAACTTTATGTTGAGACAGAGAAACTTGCTGAAGCATTAACCTGTTTCTGTTTTTATTTTTTTGTTTTATTTATTTTTTGGTGCTGGTACTAGGTCTTGAACTCAGGGCCTAGGCACCATCCCTTAGCATTTTCATTCAACAGTGATGCTCCTACCACTTGAGTGATATCTCATTTTTGGCTTTTGGCCAGTTAGTTGGAAATAAGATTATCAGGGACCTCCCTGTGTAAGCTGGCTTCCAACCTTAGATCTCAGCCTCCTGATTAGCTGGGATCATAGGAGTGAGCCACTGGTGCCAGGCTTAACTTATTTCTGGATGGTAGAAGTCTGAATTTTTTGGCCAGTTCTTAATACTTTACATCAAGAATGAGGGAGGGAATGGTGTTCCTGACATAATTGTAAACAAGGCCTGGGATTTGATGGAGTCATCGCTGCAACTTCATTATAACCTTGACAACCAGAGGGCTCCACTCTCCTAGGACAAGCAGCCAGGAGCTCAAATGACAGGAGCAGTGTTGGAGGATGTGAGCCCAGCACAAGGCTAGGAGGGCACAACCTTACAGAAGGCCAGCAAGCCTTCCAGCCCCGGCCCCCCATCCTGCCTCCCCCCACCCCGCCACAGGCAGTGCCTAAAGCAACCTACCTCTGACTGCTGCTCAGGGAGTTTCATGTTGTCGAAAATCCGAAACACGATTCTGAACAGATCCTGCCACCAGTGCTTCTCAAAGGTGTGACCATAACTCTTCATGATCTCAAACATGACTGTGAGTCCTCTGGAGGAAACAGGAGAGAGAGTGAGCCAGGGAGGAAATGGCAGAGAAGAGATAGGGAGGAAAAGGCTTGTGGGAACAAGAGACTGAGGCACCATCATGCTGGGACCCCGTTACCTGGTCCGCACATCCAGCTTACACCTATTAATGATGCAGGAGAGCTCAAATAAGATGGGGAACCAGCCTCGGACCCAGACTCTATCACCAGGAGCTACATTCATGTCGTCGCTTGTGTATTCTTGTAGCACCTACAATGGAAGTCACATCTCAGAGCAGACTAAGCAAGTAAGAGGAGAGAACCAACAACAAAGCAGACAAGACTGACCTCATGCACTTCCCTCTCCCCAATCCTCTCTGCAGTCATTAGTGTGGAATCCCTGAGACAGAGAGCCAATTACCTCTCGGAAGGGCACTAGAGGTACCTCTCTTACAGGCCTATGTACCTTTGCAAGTTTTTGAGTAAGCTGAAAGGGGCAGATCATGAGAGTCTGGGTGGGGGAGATCACATAACAAGAGTGCCAAATATCTAGAACGATTCAATGCATTAGCCTTCGTACTTAATAGTAATAGCAAAGGAGCAGCCATTGTTTGCTGGGTGATTGCTATGGGCAGGAATGGTCAAATGCTTTACATAGACTGATAGTTCACACAACAATCTCATGTGGCAGGGGGAAGTGATAGAACGTTTATTTAGGCCCTCAGGACCTAAGTAAGTAGGCATGCAGCCAGGACGTGGCAGTCTCCTACAGTCTGAGTGTGAAATTCTTACTCTGCCCTAACTTCAACCACAGTGGTGTTAAGAGTTGGTTGTGGGAAAGCTGGGCGCCGGTGGCTCACGCCTGTAATCCTAGCTACTCAGGAGGCTGAGATCTGAGGATCACAGTTCAAAGCCAGCCCAGGCAGGAAAGTCCGTGAGACTCCAATAAACCACTAGAAAACCAGAAATGATGCTGTGGCTCAAGCGGTAGAGCGCGCGCCTTGACCTGAGGAGTGCAGGGACAGCGCCCAAGCCCAGAGTTCAAGCCCCACGACTGACCAAAAAAAAAAAAAAAAAAGTTGGTCGTGGGGCTTGAACTCAGGACACTGGCACTATTCCTGAGTTCTTTCGTTCAAGGCTAGCACTCTACCGCTTTTGCAACACAGCTCTACTTCCAATTTTCTGGTGGCTAATTGGAGAGTCTCACAGACTTACTTGCTCTGGCTGGTTTTGAATCACGATCCTCAGATCTCAACCTCCAGAGTAGCTAGGATTACAGGCAAGAGCCATCAGAACAGCTGTTGTTTTTTTTTTTTTGTTGTTGTTGTTGTTTTGTTTCTTGTGGGGCCTGAACTCTGGGCCTGGGCACTGTCCCTCAGCTCTTAAGCTCAAGACTAGTGCTCTACCATTTGAGCCATAGCGCCTCTTCCAGCTTTTTCTGTTTATGTGGTGCTAAGGAATTGAACCTAGGGCCTCATGCATGTGAGGCAAGCACTCTACCACCGAGACACTTTCCCAACCCTTTTTTTAAAAAAAAAAATCAATTCTGGTTATCAAATATCAGACATTTTATTTGTTTGTTAAACCTCTTGCAAACAGGCTATTGGTCATTTCACAGGACTGATGTGGACTTTAAAGTAGTCAACATGAATACGCAGGTGGTGTACTGGGAGGTGCCTCACAGGTATTATGTGCCCCATCAGCACTGGATCCCCTTTGGCCATTACTTTTTTTTTTTTTTTGGCTTATGACAGGTCTCACTTCCAACTTTGGGATACTCCAGAGTTAAACTATCTTGTCTAGTTTAGATGTGCTTGCCCCCCTGAAATTTCATACTTTGGGACTGTCCTTTAAGCCAAGCAGTTTAGAAAGGGTTTGCCCAGAAAAACCCCAAGCACTTTCAAGAGAAAATAAAAATGATTTTTTAAAATTTAAATTTAGCCAATCCTGGGGCTTGGACTCAAGGCCTGGGCACTGTCCCTGAGCTTCTTTTACTCAAGGCTAGTGCTCTATCACTTGAGCCACAGTAGCATTTCTGGCTTTTTCTGTTTATGTGGAACTGAGGAATCAAACCCAGGGCTTCATGCATACTAGGCAAGCAGTCTACTACTGAGTCACATTCCTACCCCTCAAAATGATTGTTTTTCTTATTAGTGAGGATAGAACCCAGGTCCCTGCATATGCTAAGTGACTACCTCCAAGCTCTACCTCCAGCCCCAAAGGTGATTTTTTTAAAAATGTGACTTCTCAGACATGTCATTTTTTTTTTTTTTTTTTTTGGTTCATTGGAGGGCTTGAACTCTGGGCCTGGCTACTGTCTCTGAGCTCTTCAGCTCAACGCTAGCGCTCTACCACCTGAGCCACTTCAGGTTTTCTGGTGGTTAACTGGAGATGAGTCTCACAGACTTTCTTGCCTGGGCTGGCTTTGAACCGTAATCCTTAGATCTCAGCCTCCTGAGTAGCTAGGATTACAGGCATGAGTCACCGGTACCCAGCTAAGCATGTCACTTCTTAAAATGGAGGGTTTTGTTCCTTCACAATATTACCTTTACTAAAAACACCTGTAGAAGACTATGTAAAATTTCAGAAGACAACTCACACACAGAAGGAAAAGGCCAAACCTCACAAGGGCTGTACTTGAAGCAAACACACTCCTAACAGTGGGAAGCTCTCTGGCAGGAGTAAAGGGCTTGCCTGGTGACTCTACTGGCCCCAAGAGGGCAGCGTACCCGTGGCCTCTCAGAGACGTATCTCCCACAGAAGCGGATGAGCCGGATGGCCTCCATACTGGTGTCGGGGAAGGCAGCATTGCAGGCAAACTCCGACAAGCACTTCACGGCATCCTGGAAGGAATCAATAGCTGCCGGGAAATGGTGCTGGAAAATTGTCGCTGGGGAGACAGAAGGCATATTGCTTAAGTGCTGGATTCAGAAGTGAAATTGAGATGAAAACAGGAAGACTGCCTTGGTGCCAACAACAGCAGCTCAGCACTTCTGGGCTCGGCACTTTGGAGGGCTTTTCTTACTTGCTCTAATTTCCTGTGCCTCAGTTTCCTTTGGCAGAAGGAAGACCACAGTGATGAGCTTGGGTTTTGTTAGTTGTGGTGCCTGGACACTGAATCAGGGAAGCACAGGTTCCTGAGAGTTGGTGAAATCTATTTTCACCAACTGGGAAACGTGACCTTGTTGCGAGAGTGCTTGTTCTGAGTGACTGTGGATGCAGCAGCCCTGGCCTCACAGTCAGTAGTGCTACAAATGCGGCCTGAAGGGAACTCATCCAGGGCCTATCCCCTTGGCAGGATGCCACTGGCTTTCTGTGCCAGGGATACTACATGGGAGGAGGGGCCCTCCTTTAAAGTACAAGAGCTGCAATGAAGCAGAGCAGCCATGCAGCATGTGTGCCTCAGTGGCTTATGTTTCCTACGCGTATGCATGCCCTGGCAAATGATCACCGAAGCATCACAGCACCTCGGCACCATGCTATTGATCTTGGTTATATACATCCATTTGTGAATGGGTGGACTGACTGCATCTCCTCCATGGCACCAAGAGCTGGAACACCCCCCCCCATGTCATTGCCCCACAGCAGAACCAGCCAGGAGAAGCGCTCCCTCGCTAGGCTTCCAGTGGGCCTCAGCCGGGCAGGGGCACCAGGGGCACTTACACACGATGTGGCCTGTGGTCTGGAAGGCCAGCTCCACGATGTTCCCGTCATGGTCGGAGGCTGCCTGGTGGAACACAGCAAAGATGTTCTTCCAGCCCGAGCGGATGTTGGCCGCCTGGGAACTCACCATCTGGGCAATGCAGCGGATCACCATGTCCCGGATGGTGGGAGACCTGAGGAGGGACCAACAGTCACATCCTCTGCACTGAGTGCGAGGAGACACACAGGGCTCCTCCCTCAGAGCATTGATGAAGAAAACAAGGCTGTTTTCTAATGCACCTGGTGGTCCACATTCATTCAGCTTCTGTCCCTCCTTTTTTTACTGTTGGTTGTCAGGCTTGAACTCAGAGCCTGGGCACTGTCCCTGAGCTTTTCTATTCAACACTAGAGCTCTACCACTTTGAGCCACAGCTCTAATTGCAGTTTTCTGGTGGCTAATTGGAGGTAAGTCTCACAGACTCTCCTGTTCGTTCTGGCTCCAAACCACGATCCTCAAATCTCAGCCACTGAGTATAGTTAGGATTATAGATGTGAAGCACCAGTGCCCAGCTGTGACACATGTTTAATTAATTAACCAAGTCTTTCTTTCTTTTCTTTTCTTTTGTCAGTCATGGGGTTTGAACTCTGGGCCTGGGCACTGTCCCTGAGTTCTTCAGCTCAAGGCTAGTCCTCTACCACCTGAGCCATAGCACCACTCTGGTTTTCTGGTAGTTAAATTGGAGATAAGAGTCTCAAGGACTTTCCTGCCCAGGCTGGCTTTGAACCATGATCCTTAGATCTCAGCCTCCTGAGTAGCTAGATACAGGCGTGAGCTACCAGTGCCCAGCAGCTTTTATTTCTTATTTTTGGTGGCGTTTACTAGGCAGATGCTCTACTACTTGAGCTGCATTTCCAGCCTTACTGTATTTCCCATGAACTCCTTCAGAAAGTGGTAGAAGTATGACATTACTAAACCAGTAAGTCTTGACTCATCCCCCAAATGCTCCTTAAGATGCTATAGCAAGTTCCAGTCAACAGTTTCAAATGCTGGGGCACCACGAGGGTGGGCAGTGCGGCACGGGTCTGGCTAGGAAGGGCTCTGCGCTGCAGGGCTGGGACGCACTCTGAGCCTCAGTCTCTTTAGACAATCTCAACAGGGAGGAGTATGCTTTGTTCATGTGCTAGGGGTACAGGGGGGACTGGGCTTGCATGGGCTTAATTTCAGTTGTGTGTGTGTGTGTGTGTGTGTGTGTAAAAAGGGAGGGGGAGGAGGAAGAGGAAGGAAAAAGGAGAAGGGGAATGGGGGGGGAGTGTGAGAAAGAAAGAGGGACAGGGAGAGACACACAGAAAGACAGACAAAGAGAGAGCCATGCCAGGGAAATGTTTCTGCTGCCCTTGTATTCTCTACCCCAACTGCCCACACCTAGCTGAAAGCCTGGCTCCAAATGGCAGGGTTTTAATTTCTTCTGCTCCATAGCCCGTATTCAGGAGATTCTATCAGCTTCCTCCAGAAAGTGCACAGTATGATCCAACGTGGCTACTGCCTCCCTCTGGTCCAAACCTGGGCATCTGCAAGGGCCTCCTAAGTCACCCTGCTACGTCTCATTCCCATAGTCAGTGCAGGGTGAGGGCATTTCGTGTCTCTACCTAAAATCTACCACTTACAGAGAAAAAGCCAAAATCCTTGAATGACAAACAATTTCTGTGTGGCTGAGGCACCTTCTTCCCTCAGAAGGGGCTTCAGTGACCTGTGCCCACCACACTGTTCACCTCTCCAGCCATGCCAGATTCCCCAGCTCCTTATCCATGCTAATAAAGCCCCTTCTTGCGCAGGGCTTTTCCTCTTGCTTGTCTCCCGTCCCAACACAGCTTGCTCCTCCCTTCTTCTGGTTTCCTGAGCATGGCTGAGGGCTGGTATAAAGAATTCCAATCCCCAACCCCACCCCACTCAGTGTTTTCAGCACTTGCCTCCACCATTGTCAACAATGATTTGGTTTTTAATTTGTGTGTGTGTGTATGCATGCCAGTCCTAGGGCTTAAACTTGTGGCCTATGTGCTGTCTTCTTTTGCTGAGCTTCTTTTGCTCAAGGCTAGCACTCTACTACTTGAGACAGAGCCTCACTTCCAGCTTTTCTGGGGGCACTTTATTGAAGAGTCTCATAGAATGATCCTGCCTGAGCTGGCTTTCAAATTTGATCCTCAGAATTCAGCCACCTGAGTAGCTAGGATTACAGGTGTAAGCCATCAACAGCCAACTTCATTTTTAATTTTATTATGGAAAATTTCAGACACTAAAATGTAGAGAGGACGATGTAAGGAATCAGTGTAGTCTTTCTCTAGGTGCAATAAGGGGCAATTCAATATTTACTGTTGGATTGTCTGCACTCTAGTACCTAGCAAGAGTAGAAGCTGGGGAGTCCCGCTGCAGGGAAGCTCATTTCCTGCCCCATTAGGACCTCTCTGGGGAATTCATCCTTTTCTGAGACATTTCAGCCTTTTCTCCATCCTCCCCTAGCACCAGCCCTAATAGGGACTCTACACACACACACACACACACACACACACACACACACACACACACACACACACACACACACACACACACACACACACACACACACACACACACACACACACACACACACACACACACACACACACACACACACACACACACACACACACACACGTTAATTTACCAAGGCCAAGTGAGTTGAATTACACCTGTACATTCTTTTTGCTTCTACCAACAAGGCAGAGGAAATTAACCCCAAGCTTAGCATTAGAAGGGAGTTCTAGACCCGGTGGGAGTCTGATCCAGGGTTTTCCACATTACCTGTTTTTCTTCATAATATGCTCAAAGGGCCTCAGAAAATCTTTCTGGAATCGGAAGTTGGCTAATTCACCCTTCTCTAGAAACTTCATAGAGAGCTGCCTTAAAGAGTCCACAGCAAAGATAGCCACGTCTTCATTGGGGTTACAGCCGACCTGAGCAGGAGCAGGAGGTGAGGTCAAACAGGTGGAAGGTTGCAACTGTGGATGAGGCACCCTGCACGATCTGCGCACACTCTGAACTCCGGGACAAATACCCGGCCTGCATGCACGCTGAACCCCAGGAGACAGCCTCCAAAAGGTAGTGATATGAGCCTACTTCTGGGACGTGGGGCATTTGGGTATTTTCATTATCCCTGGAATTTTAATGGGTTTTACAGGAATTCTAGCAGAGCATAAGTATGACCTGACTCCTATCAAGCTATTCTTCTGTATAGGCAAAATAAATTAATGGTACCCCAAAAACAGAGCACTGTTTTGTTCTTGGCAGTACTGAGATTTGAAAGCAGGGCTTTGTGCTTGCCAGGCAGGTCTGTTGCTTGAGCCATACCTCGAGGCTCCTCCAGTCTCCTCTACCTTTTCTCTTAAGGTGATCCTGATGACTGAAACACCCACATGCTAGGTGAGCACTCTACCACTTGAGCCATGTTAGCATACTTTTTGTTTTTTTTTCTTTTGCTTCTGAGATGGGAGTCTCACTAGTTTTGCTGACTTGAAATGTGTCCTCCTGCCTTTTTCTCCTCAGTAGCTAGGACTGTAGGCATGTGCTACCATGTTCAGTTTGGGGACAAGTCTTTAAATTATTTCTTTTTAATTTAGCTACCTATCTTTTCTGACTCTGACAAAGTGGCTTTTAAATATGAAAAGTTACCTTATTGAAGTGATCTCCAATCACATGCCATATTCGGGACCACTGCAGCCGGATCCGATTCATGTTGTAGTATGAAATCTCCACGATCTTCTGCAGGCTGAACATACGAGGATGGTGGGGAGATGCCAGTTCATCCATGGACACAGCACACAACCAGCGGACAAAGTCAACTATAGGCCAGAGCCAACAAGATGCGCAAAGCATTAGTAAGTCAGACAATCATAATGTGAGGCTTCTGTGGTCACAGGCAAGTGACATACATACCAATTGCATTTCCATCCAGTCTGGTGGAGCCGGTAAAAATTCTAGGGTGACAATCACAGACATAACAAAAGTTAGATGTGGAAGCTGGGGTTTCTCAGATATCCGAAAAGGCAGAGGAAGAGGAGGAGGAAATACTTTAGGTCTTGCATCTCTGCCAAAATAAACAGTGACAGCCAGGCATAGTCGTTTCTGCCTGTAATCCCAGCTATCCAGGAGGTAGAAGCAGGAGGATCTTGAGTTCCATACAAGCCTGGGCAAAGTTAGAGAGACCCTGTCTCAAGAACTAAATGGGAACCAAAGGTTTGGAAATGCAGTTCATGTGGTAAAGCACCTGCCTAGATACTTGAGGACCTGGGTTAAACCCCCAGCACTTTAAGTAATATGTAAATGACAGAAAATAAACTGCGAGGCACCACTTGGACAGAACTGATCAGTGCACTGAGCTGAGAGGATCTCTCTTTGCTTGGGGATAGCCTCTGACCTTGATCCCCTTATGTATGCCTTCCATATAGTCATATGTGCCACCATGCCTGGCCTGTTTGTTGATACAGAACCTAATGAACTTTTTTTTGGGGGGGTGGGGCTGGTCCTAGAATTTGAACTCAGGGCCTGGGTGCTGTCCCTGAGCCTCTTTGGGCTTAAAGCTAGTGCTCTACCACCTGAGCCATAGTGCCACTACCAGCTTAATTTGAGTAGTTTTATTTGAGATAAGAGTCTTATGGAGGGCTGGGAAGGTGGCTCAGTGGTAGAGCGCTTGCCTTGCATGCCTGAGGCCCTGGGTTCGATTCCTCAACACCATATAAGCAAAAAGAAAAAAGCCGGAAGTGGTGCTGTGGCTCAAGTGGTAGAGTGCTAGCCTTGAGCTGAAGAGCTGAGGGACAGCACCCAGGCCCAGAGTTCAGGCCCCACAACCGGACCCCCCCCCCCCAAAAAAAAAAAAAAAAAAGAGTCTTATGGAAGCTGGCCACCGGTGGCTCACGCCTGTAATCCTAGCTACTCAGGAGTCAAAGCCAGGCTGGGCAGGAAAGTAGTCCGTGAGACTCTTATCTCCAATTAATCACCAGGAAAACGGAAGTGATGCTGTTGGCTAAAGTGGTAGAACACTCTCCTTGAGCTAAAGAGCTGAGAGACAGCGCCCAGGCCCAGAGTTCAAGCCCCACAACCAAAAAAAAAAAGCGTCTTATAGACTTTCCTGCCCAGACTAGCTTTGAACTGCAATCCTCAGATCTTAGCCTTTTGAGTAACTAGGATTACAGGCATGAGCCACCAGTACCCGGCAGAACCTAATGAACTTTTTTACTCAGGCTGACTTTAAATCACCATCTTCCTGATTTCCTGAGTAACTGAGATTACAATCATGAATAACTGTCTTAGATTATTGGATAGAAATTATGTATTAGTTAAAAAAAAGAAACAATAGAAAAAGGTGAACCAGATTTCTATTGTCTACTACTTAGTTAGGCAGAGAAACAGGAAAAAGTAATTATGAGAGAAAAGACATTCTGTTCAAACCAGTAACAGTGGATTGAGTCTATGGTTCCAGCTACTTGGGAGGCTGTGACAGGAGGACTGCTTGAACCAAGGAGTCTGGGACCAGCATGAGGAATGTGCAAGACTGCCACTTTAGAAAAAAATTTGTTGTCTAAATCAATCTATAATCAAGAAGACAGATGTGAAAGTACATAAGAGATAACACTTTGGCTGGAGAGAAGCAGAAAAGTAACAGAACAAGGCTGAATGAGTGGTTCAAGCCTATAAACCCAGTTATTCAGGAAGCTAATACTGGAAGGGATCATAGTTCAAGTATAGCTTGGGCAGGAAGTTCTCAAGACTCCCACCTCAATCAATACAAACCAGAAGTGGTAGCAGGCACCTGACAGCTACTCAGGAAAGGTAAATAGAGGTATCAATGTCTAGGCCAGCCTGGGCATAAATGTAAGACTCTATTTGAAAAATAAATAAGGAGTGTCTCAGTAATAGGGTGACTGTCTGGTGAGCATCAGATCCTAAATTCAAAACCCAGTACTGACAAAAAAAGAAAAAAAGGTAGACAGATGTTTAAACACTAAGCAGACTGGGTAGGCTTTTACCCAGTCTGTTCTTGACAATTTTTTTTGACTGTTCCTGACAATTTTTTTAAAAGTAATTTCTAATAAGGAGACTAGGTAACACAAACATCAGTAGTAGCAAAAATTCTTATTATGGGGCTGGCAATGTGGCTTAGTGGTAGAGTGCTTGCTTAGCATGCATGAAGCTCTGGGTTCAATTCCTCAGTACCACATAAACAGGCACTGTGGGTCCAGCGCTGGCCTTGAGCAAAAGCAGCTCAGGGACAGTGCCCAGGTCCTGAGTTCAAGCCCCAGGACTGGCAAAAAAAAAAATTCTTACGATTTCTGTGTGCGTGCGTGTGCATGCGCACACACGTGCACGTACACATACTAGTCCCCATACTGGGGCTTAAACTCTGTGCCTCAAGCCTTCTTGCTCAAGCCTGGTGCTATATTACTTGAGCTATAGCCGCCACACTGGCATTCTGCTAGTTAACTGGAGATGCAGTTAAGTGTCACAACCTTTTCTGCGCAGGCTGGTTTTGAATTGTGATCCTCTAGGTGTCGGCCTTTTGAGTAGCTACAACTACAGGTGTGAGCCAGCAGCATATGGTTCAAAATTCTGACATAATTTGTCACAATATCATTTGTTTGCTTGTTTATTTATTTATTGGTCATGGGGCTTGAATTCTGGGCCTGGGCACTGTCCCTGTACTCTTCAGCTCAAGACCAGCACTCTACTGCTTGAGCCACAGTGCCACTTCTGGTGGTGGTTCATTGGAGATAAGTGTCTCATGGACTTTCCTGCTGGGCTGGATTTGAACTGCAGTTCTCAGATCTGAGCCTCCTGTGTAGCTAGGATTACAGGCATGAGCTACCAGCGCCAGGCAAGTTTATAATTTTTTTTAAAGGCCAAAATTCAAAGGGATAAGAAGGTTGTTAGTAACTGGGTCATGTATGCCATCTTTAATCTTTCTTAGCTCATACAACCTAGAGCTGGCCACACATAGTGAAACAGATTAGCCACCATCACATCACAAATGACACAGAGGACAACAAGCCTGGCAGGTCTAAGCTCTCTGGAGAATGATGTTATTACCTGTCCACGGCGACAACCACACTCTGAGAGCTGGTCTCACCAACCGACTCCTGGAAGCTGGCCATCTGTCTTCTGTCTACACCTCCACTCACCAAGTTACCTGCAACACAATGTCCAACATCAGCAGGACTCCCAACACAGCCCAGAACTTAAGACCTAAGGATCCTCTGCCCCTGAATGCAGACCAGGAACAAGGATGAGAAGGTTCTGCACTCACAACAAAGCAAAATGAAACCCCCAGAGACTCTTTTGTTTTGGCATTTAAAATACACCCTTCATATAAGCTGCCTTGTATGTATGTACCAACCACCTGCCAGCCTCTGACGCCTTTCAAGCCCTGACAGTACTAAGATCTTGTATTTAGGAAAACAAATTGGTATCAGCTGATACTCGTCCAGCGCTAGAAAACACGCAACCGCTGTCGAGCCTCTGCGGAGTACCTGGGGAGCAACATGGTGTTGCTCATCATCCTCACAAGCCTGATGGAGGGGTGCTGCCCCCCAGGTCCTAGCCTGGGCTTTCCCCCACTGCACTCTCCCATTCCTGGCACTGTGCAGGCCCTGGGAGCCTCAGACGCTACGCCTAGACCCCATCTCTGCGGCTTCCTTGCTGAGTGACACTGCTCATGTCACTTGGTCTTTCCCAGGAGTCACTGGGTAGGATGGCAGGCCCCTGTCGGTGGGTCACTGAGTCCTGAGCATATGGCCCAGCAAGTTTGCTTCCTCTTCTGATCCTCATTACTCCAGCACAGTGTCGGGAGAGTCCCCCCACTGCTGCAGGACTACACATCCTCTACTAGCATCAGAATACCCCCAGTTCTTGCAAAATCTCTGCCAGCCAGGTGTGGGGCTGGGCTCTTACCAAGCCCGAGGCCCATGAACTCTTCTCCTGCCAATGTGTGGCCTTTCAGGCTCCCTTCCCTCTCTCGCCCAGAGCCAGACAGGTAGCGGGTCTTGACCCCGGTTCCTATCAGCTGAGCAAGCTCCAGCTGGCTGATGCATTTCAAGATCTAAGGGAAAAAAGATATGAAGAAATGAGTTCCCACTTCACAGCTGGAAAAGGAACTGTCTCTTGGGTCATTCGTGTTGAAGAACCTACACTTGTCACAGCAGGAGTGAAATCTGAGGCTCTTAGGCTCACTCTGCTAGAGGAAAGGTAGCCAGCTGCAGCTACACAGCCCTCTGATGCGGGGCTTGAGGACACATGACTGTACATAGTTTTTTTAACCACTAAAAAATAAAGAGCAATAAGTAAAAGTAAAGTTGGCACACTGGGGTTATGACCTACTGATGTTTATGCAAACTTAGCAAGTGCTCAATAGAAAAAACTCACAGAGCTGAAGCCAGGGATTCCATCTGCTTCCACACAAACACGGCAGCCTCACTGCCTCTGCCCTCAGACTTGACTTCCATCTCTGGGCTCACCTCCGGGCCTTTGCCCTCACTGATCATACATACATGCATGTCCCCACAGACAACAACCCTGACTCTCCTAATGACATCCCCATCTCTGCTTTATTTCTCACTTTATTTCTCCTTAGTACTTACCACTTTGGGGCATTTTATCCCTATTTATCTGTTCTCAGCCTGATGTGTCAAGAGGATACTAACTGTGTATTCATGGCAATGTTCTCACTCACGAGATAAACCTAGGCTTAACTGCCAGAAGAACAGAACTGACCAAGAGAGACCCTGCCTGGTAGGAGTGGTGCCACAGGAACGGGAGAGCTATACCTCGTGCCACGAGTTCCCCAGGTAGTTGCCGTCAGTATGAGCCACCGTGATGAGCGTCTTGATGGTGTCGATGTTCTTCTGTTTCATTTCAGTGATGCTGGAGCTGGCTGTCAGCAGAGAGAAGCGAGCCAGGGCTTGAACGTAGGCATCTCGTTCCAGCTGAAAGAGAAGCAGAGCATATTTGAAATCTAGCTCACTCTTCCAATGAACTCAACACACTATCCAGTGCTTTAATCTGTTGAATGCCCACATTGTCAAGAAAACTAGCATCCACAGTGATCTGCCTTCCCAGGTTACTTAGCGAGGCCATCACTGACCAGCAGTAGGTTTTGAAAGTCCAGTGTCAGAGCCTGAGGTCCCAATACAAAAGACAATGGCTGAATGGGGGCATGGACAGCAAATTCTCATTGACTAGAAAGAAAGGCTTTGGACAAAAAAACCCCACAACCTTCTGACTTTTCAATAGCTAGACAACTGTATGTAATTGATTTGTATATTATTTATTTATTTATTTGGTGCTGGTCCTGACACTTGAACTCAGGTCTGGGCACTGTCCCTGTGTTTGTTTGTTTTGTTTTGCTCAAGGCTCTCACTCTACCACTTGAGCTCAGCTCAACTTTTTTGTAGTTAATTGGAGATCAAAGTCTCACTGACTTTCCTACCCTGGCTGGCTTTAAACCACAATCCTCAGATCTCAGCTTCCTAGCTAGAATTGCAGGAATGAGCTACTAGTGTCTAGCAATTTGCTACATTTTTCAAAATTCAAAACAAGTATATAGACATATTAATTTGCATTCATGTATTTTATTCCCAGAGAAGGATAGGAAATAAATAAAATTTAAAAAATGGATTTTAGAAGAAAAAAGCACTGTCAGGATGTTAGAAATGGAACCAGCCTTGAGCTGTCAATCACATCCCAGACCTCTGTACCCCACTCCCAGCCAGGAAAAAATACTTGAAGCACTAAGGCAGCTAAGCTAGTCAAATAGGCAAAAAAGTTGCTTTGACACATCTGAGCAAATGGCTTGAACCCTACTTACCTTTAAAGAAACTTTAAATGCAGTGTTTTCCCTAAGCGAGGCTGTTACCAGCACAAAGCCATGGGTTTCTTAGAAGTCTGTTGGACACTTGATTAACTAAGGATTTCTGGTAATGTCTAAGTCGTGCCAAGTCCAAAAGAATACAAGCCAGCAGTAGGGAACCTTGCTCACATACACTCACCTGCATTGAGAAGATGCAGGCAATTCGGATGGCACATCGGATGCCTTCCAGACACAAGGAAGCCACTTCAGTGTCGTCACAGTTCTGTAGCCCAATGCTATAGGCGGCCAGCAATGGCGTCCACACCAGCTAGCAAAGAAGGCAGGCTTCAGCAACCCCAGAATTCCAGCAGGGAAAAGCATACTTAGAGGTACACTGTTGGCCATTAGGGGAACAGCCAGGATGCCAAGTTCACTGTTACCTGTATTTTAATCTGTTCTTCTCAAACAGTCCCTTTGAAACTGTGGTCAAAGCAATCACTCTAAATGTGTTATGCACAAAGGAAATACTGTTACTGGTGGCTACTGTGCCACTTCTACATCACCCTGTGCCTATGGCAGACATCACTAATCAACCAAAAGTCTTATTCACTGTTGAATCTGAATTTAAACAGCACATCTCTGAGTCAACAGTAATCAGAAGTCAGGATGCAAAATAAAACTTGCAGTATGTCTATAAAGTTGTTTACTGAAAGGCTCCATATTAAATTACTTAGACAGGGCTGGGAAGGTGGCTCAGTGGTAGAGCGCTTGCCTTGCATGCCTGAGGCCCTGGGTTCGATTCCTCAGCAGCACATAAGCAAAAAGAAAAAAGCCAGAAGTGGTGCTGTGGCTCAAGTGGTAGAGTGCTACCTTGAGCTGAAGAGCTGAGGGACAGCGGCCAGGCCCAGAGTTCAGGCCCCACGACCGGACCCAAAAAAAAATAAAAATAAATTACTTAGACATTACTTTTCTTTCAACTTTCTTGTGAATTCCTTGAAAATAAAAGGTCACATTAGATACTAAAAGTTATCATAAAAACACTAGAGCTGGGTGCTATGAGTCACACCTGAAATCCTAGCTACTCAGTAGGCTGAGAATTGAGGATCATGATTCAAAGCCAGCTCTGGCAGAAAAGTCTGTGAGATTCTTATCTCCATTTAACCAACAAAAAGGAAGAAGTAAGCTATGATTCAAGGGGTAGAGCACCAGCCTTGAGTAGAAAAAGCTAAGAGAGGGGAGACGGGGGGGGGGGGGGGGGGGGGGAGGCTGGGAAGGGATGTGAAGGGTAAACAAAGGAGGAGGCTGCAATGCTTGATAAGAAATGTACTCATTATCTTGCCCATGTAATTGTAACCCCTCTGTACAGTATGTTCACAAAAAATTAAAAAAAAAAAAAAGAAAAAGCTAAGAGATTAAGTGCCCAGGCCCTGAGTTCAAGCCCTAGTACCAACTCAAAATCAAACCAACCACCACCACACCATCCCCCACATACACACACAATTTAGAGAAAAATGTGTTAAGTATATAAAACATGTACCTTTTCTTTTTTTTAATTATTTTTTTTGGGGGGAGGGGTCTGGTTGTATGGCCTGAACTCTGGGCCTGGGCGCTGTCCCTCAGCTCTTTAGCTCAAGGCTAGTGCTCTACCACTTGAGCCACAGCGCCACTTCCGGCTTTTTTCTTTTTGCTTATGTGGTGCTGAGGAATAGAACCCAGGGCCTCAGGCATGCAAGGCAAGCGCTCTACCACTGAGCCACCTTCCTAGCCCCAAAACATGTACCTTTTCTAAAGAGTTTAAAAATAGAGACATTAGGTCATATACAGTGGTTGATGGCTATAATTCCAGCTACTAAGGAGGTAGAGATCAGGAGGGTAGTGGATTGAAGCCAACCCAGACAAAAAGTTGGCTCTATCTAAACAAAAAAGCTGGACATAGTGGTGCACACTTGTGATTGCAACTATGTAAGAGGCCTGTCTGTCAGTCTGAGGCCAGCCTGGGAGAAAATACGAGATACCACCTGAAAAATAACTGAAGTGAAAAAGGGCTGGGGGCACGGTTCAAGTGGTAGAGCTCCTGCCTAGCAAGTGCTAGGTCCTAAGTTTAAACCCCAGTACCGCCTCCCAAATAGCCTTCAGTTACTTATTGTCTTTTGCTTCTACTACCTAATCTCACCTGGTAAACTAACCCTGAGACTACTGAGGTGAAAAAGTCACAATAAAACTGTCCTTTCATCTTTGGTTTTGGACACAGGATCTTTCTATGTAGCTCAGGCTGGCCTAGAACTTATGATTTTCCTATTTTAGCTTCCCAAATGCTGGGATTACAGGCAAGTGACTCCAAACCCACCTTGTACATACACACGTACGTACGTATACACACACACACACACACACACACACACACACACACACACGATTCAGAAGCATAGAGGCATTGAGCCTGTGTGTTCCTCCTCTGAATATCCTCCTCCTTTTGTCTTTTATATTTTGCCCTGGCAATTATTAAGTCATTCAGTCTCCTGGAAGCCCTTATACCAACTCTGACCTGACCACCTTTTTTTCAGATGATAGGGAGACAGAGGGTGAATCACCTGACCACGGTCACAGACACACAGAGCAGCAAAGCCAGGACTAAAACCCAGACATTCTGACGGCAGAGTACATAACTAGCATTGACCCTTCTTCAGTGCCACTGAGGGACACGCAGTGAAGACTTGCTTCCAAAGAAGCCTGGCCTTTCCCTTCTCCTCTCTTCCCTGGGAACTTGCTAATTGCCTGCCCCACCATGAATCAGGCCTAGCCCCACGTTCCAACTTCTCAGGATACTCACTTTGAACATTGGCCGGACGTGGTCCAAGTGTGTGGCACTTGTGAATGGGGCTTTGGCGTGGCTCACAGCCTCCATCAGAGCTTTGGCTGTTTTAGCCATTTGCTCCATCTCCAAATTGTACAGCAGCCGCCGCTGCTTTTCACTAGCCACATCTACAAGAAAGTTAAGAGCCGGAAAGGTGGCTAGTACTCACGGAGCATCTGCCTCATGCCTGACACTGCTTCAAAAGGTTCACAATCATCAACTCACAAATCCACCAAACGTGCCATGAGCCTGTTAAAATATGCTTACCATTTCTCACCCATGAAAAGTAAGGCAGAGAGGTTATACAGCTAATAAGCTAACAAGCTGGACTTGCCCCCGAGCAAGCGTCCAAACCACAGCATCCAGTGACTCTCACACTCTGACAGCTTTGAGAGGTAATTAAAGGAGCTCTAATCAAGGTTGACAGAATCACCACTTGAATTAAAGTAAGGTTTTAAGAAGATAATTTAGCTCTTAAGATTACCTATTTTAAATTCCTCTTGTTCCTAATCACAAATTGAGAAACTAGTCATATCGTAAAAGAATTAACATAAGCATAATTAATCATTCTTATTCAGATACCTAGATATGTAAATCTCATTTACCAACAGCATCATTAGTCATGCATTCTGATACACTCAAACGCTAGACTTAGCAGAACCATTTGTGGCTGGACCTTACTCTGCTTTGTAGACTTTGTTGCAATCGAGTGCTCTTTTGTTTCCTTCATGGCAATCTTCTTGCCCTCGATCTCCTCGTAGATGCTGGACAGATATTCCTCTGGCAGATCTTTACTATCATTGATGCCCCGATTCATTTTAATATACTGCTCTTTTGTCATTTTATTTTTTACCTGAAATTTTTAAAGATTTCATAACAATCAGAGGCTGGGAAGGCAGTTCAGTGGTAGAGTGCTTGCCTTGTATGCATGAGACCCTGGGTTTGATTCCTCAGCACCACAGAAGCAGAAAAATCTGGAAGTGGCGCTATGGCTCAAGTGGTAGAGTGCTAGTCTTGAGCTGAAGAGCTGAGGGATAGCACCGAAGCCCAGAGTTCAAGCTCCAAGACCAACAACAACAACAACAAAATCCAAGTGCGCATATCCAGCCCCTGTGCAGCTAGGATGGTGCAGGAATCATGAGCGGGCTTTACCTGTGGGCTGTGCAGGTCTGTGGTTAGCATGATAATAGAATATGCCAGGACATACGCAGTGTCAGCGCTCGCAAACAGAGTTTGCCTGGAAGAGAAGATGCCAGATGTGAGGATGGGTCCCAGACACGTGTCACTGACAGCAGACTCATGGCTGCACAGGATGCCCAGCTGGAGACATTCTCATATCCTCACTATCACTGAATACTAACTATTAAGCTGACTCTTAATAGATCTGAGGCTTCTTGGAAACATCTTGAATGAGAACTAGAGAGAAGCAATGGGAAGATGTCAGGAGCCACTCACTCCTGTGCTGCTCCTGGCCTGCCTCACCCTGAGTGACGCCTCTTACTCCAGCTTGCTAAGCTAAGCACCCTGCCCACTCCTGTGTGTGCAGGTGCCAGGCAGAGAGGACAAAGGCCGCTGCTGCACAGCAGAGACCAGGAAAACAGTTATGTCGCTCTAAGCTGTAATACATGAACTGAGGCTGAAAACTGGTCTGCCACACTGGCCCCTTCACCAGGAGAGTGAGAAATCCCAAGGAACATAGGAGAGGCCACACTGTACGGGGGATTTACCAGGGTGAGCATTTACCACTGTCAGAAACAGAGCGAAGCCCCACAAAAAGCAATGGTCCATTCCATCTTCCCAGTGAGTTTTAATCGCCTCAGCTCCCCCACCCTCACCCACCTCCCAAGGACAGCTGGCCCTCCTGGAGGCCTGGGACCAGTTAATATGGAGTGGCAGAACAGCATTAGGGTGTCTCCTCAGCCATTTCTATGCACAGTTTACCACACACCCAGACATTTCTGTGCAGTGGAGAGCCGGCTTCTTAGTCAGGCAATACGTGTTCACTCTGCTCTGTTATGACCACTTGACTAATCTTTTTTTTTTTTTTTGTCAGTCCTGGGGCTTGAACTCTGGGCTTGGGCACTGTCCCTCAGCTCTTCAGCTCAAAGCTAGCGTTCTACCACTTGAACAATAGCACCACTTCTGGTTTTCTGCGTGGCTTATTGGAGATAAGAGTCTCACAGACTTTCCTGCCCAGGCTGGTTTTGAACCGAGATCCTCAGATCTCAGCCTCTTGAGTATAGGATTGCAGGCATGAGCTACCAGCCCAGGGCCTGACTAATCTTTTTTTTGGGGGGGGTCTGGTCATGGGGCCTAAACTCTGGGCCTGGGCGCTGTCCCTCAGCTCTTCAGCTCAAGGCTAGTACTCTACCACTTGAGCCACAGCGCCACTTCCGGCTTTTTTCTTTTTGCTTATGTGGTGCTGAGGAATCGAACCCAGGGCCTCAGGCATGCAAGGCAAGTTCTCTACCACTGAGCCACCTTCCCAGCCCCTGACTAATCTTATATAGGCTGCTCAATCTGTAAAATGGGACACTACTCCCACTGATGACAGGAAATGCAGGTAAAACTCAGGGCCTGCCTGACATATAGGCAGAAAGTGCTCAGAAAACATTAGTTGTTGTTGTTTTTTTTCTTTTCAACTCCTATCAAGTACAGAAAACATCCATCAACAAAGAACCCAGCCAAGCACTGTTGATTCATACTTGTAATCCTAGCTATTCAGCAGGCTGAGATCTGAGAATTAAAGTTTAAAGCCAGCCAACGGAGGAAAGTACGTGAAACTCTCATCTCCAATTAACTACCAAAAAGCTGAAGATGGAGATGTGGCTCAAGTGGTAGAGCACTAGCCTTAAACAAAAAAAAAAAAAGCTTAGCACCCAGGGTGAATTTAAGCACTAGGACTGGCACGCACGCACATATGTATACACACACACACACACACACACACACACACACACACACACACACACAAAACGTGCAGAGATCGCAGTCTGTGATCTTAGCAGTTGGGAGGTGGAGGCATAACAAAAAACATGAGTTCAAGGCTGAATTTAAGCACTAGGACTGGCACGCACGCACGTATGTATACACACACACACACACACACACACACACACACAAAACGTGCAGATATTGCAGTCTGTGATCTTAGCAGTTGGGAGGTGGAGGCATAACAAAAAACATGAGTTCAAGGCTGAATTTAAGCACTAGGACTGGCACGCATGCACATATGTATACACACACACACACACAAAACGTGCAGAGATTGCAGTCTGCGATCTTAGCAGTTGGGAGGTGGAGGCATAACAAAAAACATGAGTTCAAGGCTGAATTTAAGCACTAGGACTGGCACGCACACACATATGTATACACACACACACACACACACACACACACACACACACACACACACACACACAACGTGCAGAGATCGCAGTCTGTGATCTTAGCAGTTGGGAGGTGGAGGCATAACAAAAAACATGAGTTCAAGGCTGAATTTAAGCACTAGGACTGGCACGCACGCACGTATGTATACACACACACACACACACACACACACAAAACGTGCAGAGATTGCAGTCTGTGATCTTAGCAGTTGGGAGGTGGAGGCATAACAAAAAACATGAGTTCAAGGCTGAATTTAAGCACTAGGACTGGCACGCATGCACATATGTATACACACACACACACACAAAACGTGCAGAGATTGCAGTCTGCGATCTTAGCAGTTGGGAGGTGGAGGCATAACAAAAAACATGAGTTCAAGGCTGAATTTAAGCACTAGGACTGGCACGCACACACATATGTATACACACACACACACACACACACACACACACAACGTGCAGAGATCGCAGTCTGTGATCTTAGCAGTTGGGAGGTGGAGGCATAACAAAAAACATGAGTTCAAAGCTAAATTTAAGCACTAGGACTGGCACGCACGCATGTATGTATACACACACACACACACAAAACGTGCAGAGATTGCAGTCTGTGATCTTAGCAGTTGGGAGGTGGAGGCATAACAAAAAACATGAGTTCAAGGCTGAATTTAAGCACTAGGACTGGCACGCACGCACGTATGTATACACACACACACACACACACACACACACACACACACACAACGTGCAGAGATCGCAGTCTGATCTTAGCAGTTGGGAGGTGGAGGCATAACAAAAAACATGAGTTCAAGGCCAGACTGGGCTACACATCAAGACCTTGTCTAAAGAAACAAACCCACAAAATAAACAAACAAAATAAAATGATATATTTAATGATTGTACTGTTAACCATTTCTATAATATTTTTTGGTACACAATATGAGAGAACCAAAATCCTTAATATCTAGGCTATCCATTAAATCGGGAAGTGGCACAGTTTGTGTTTACAGCTCTAAGCTTTACAGCTCTCAGCTGGGCAATCCTCTGCCACTGAGTTACATCACTCTCTTTGGCATTTTGAGACCGTGTTTCTATGTGTAGCTCACTGTGGAGCCCATGCTGGTCTTGAACTAATGATCCTTGGGGTTCTGCCTCATGTGTGCTGGGACTACAAGTATGCACAACCAGATCCAGCAAGGAGCTGTTATTTATTAGGGAAGAGGTGCTTAAACTGCTTTCTCTCAGTCTATGAGACTACTCTTTTAAAGTAAGTAATAGCATGACTTTTAGCCGTGTGAGCTTAGGCAAGTTACTTAACCTCTCTGGTCCTTAATCTCGAGATACAAATAAGGTTTTCTGAAGTCTTATGTAAGATAAACCCTTAGCACAGAGCCTGGTGCCCAGTGAAGAGAAACTTTACTTGCAAGTTTTAGAGACATTCAATCAAGATTTGTGCCATGAGAGATGTCAGTGGAGCGCTCACCCTTGGTTGCACTCTATGTATCTTGCAGCAAACTTCTCCATTAAGCGGTCAATCTTCTGGGCTTCCCCGGGGAGACGGAAGCCTTCCAGGAATGTCCTGAGTGCCGAGACAAACTCCTTCTCACAAAAGTCCAGTTGGTCCACGTAGGCATACATCACCTCCTTGTTGAGCCTGGCACCGTCTCCCAGAAAATCTCCCACTTGGGTCTGAAACACGCACACTAACTCACATCTGGAAGCTGTCCACAGGGTCCCACAGCAGAGACACCCGCAACGGGTGGTCAGAACATTCTGGCCTTGATTGCCCACATTAGGTGGCCCAAGGGAAGCTGCCCAGCCACCCACTGTAGACACAGGCTGTTCTGCCAGCGGAAGAAGGGGAGGGACACAGAAGGACCAAAAATGAAGAGGACAGCCAGTGCCCGTGGCTCACAGCCACTCAGTAGGCTCAAATTTGAGGATCGTGGTTCAAAGACTTCCCAGGAAGGAAAGTCCATGAGACTATTATCTCCAATTCACCAGTACAGCTTGAGCAAAAAAAAAAAAAAAACAAAAAAAAAAAACAAAAAAAAAACCAGCTAAGGGACAACAACCTGGCCCTGAGTTCAAGGCCCAGTACCAGCCTAAAAAAAAAAAAAAAAAAGTAAAAGATAGAGGGGATGACAGACTGGCTTAGGAGGGAGCTGTGTTCCTAACAGTTGCGAAACACCACATATGCAAGCACACTTTTGCCACACTGGCCAGCACAGGCGGGGGTAGAGCAGGATGAGCGCAGGCCCTGCCTATCTGGAGGCACCGGCCAGGGAGAGCTGCCCAAGGCAGGGCCAGCCCTGCACTTACAGAATCCAGGCGCTCCTCCTGGTGCAGAAACTGGGCGATGTCCTCAACGGACGCTCCCAGCATGCCCTGCTCCTGGAGAAACTGGATTCCCCTCTTGGGTTTCTTGTTGAAGCTGTTTCAAGGGAAGGAACAAAGGTTGCATATTCAAAATCTGAGCAGAGAAAGAGCCGACATTTAAGGTGAATTATGATGACACTGTGAACAATCTATTCACTTAAGCTCTTCCAAGTTCCACCTTCAGTTTCTGACCAGCAGAGACTGGTGGCTGTCTTCCCGTCCATTCTCCCTGCTTCATCAGAGAACCCCAGGTGCTCTGCTGACCAGTCACTGGAATAAAAACTATACTTCCTGAACCCCTTAGCTACAGGCAAGGCTGGAGGGGCACAGGCAGGCCTAGGGAAAATTCTTACCCAAGGCTGACTCAGGAAAGCATGTTCTCTTGTTGCCTTTCCCCTTTCTTCTCCAGAATAAACACATCATGGCTAGTGCTCCCAAGCAGTTATCCTAGCTATGAAGCAGCCCTGAGCATGAAAATGACAGGCTTGTAGTGGTGGAGCAGACAGGTAAGAGTTAAGTGAGTCCCTCTGTGGAAGGCTCAGCTTGACGGCCTCAGACTGCCTGCTTTTAATTTCCTTTACTTGAGAATACATAGTTACTGTGACTTTATATTTCCTGTTGAAGGGAAGCAAAGGTACCTAATGCATACTTAGCCTTATACCACCCAGTCCAGAAGGACCAGGGCCATGAAGACACAAATCTGGACAAGGACAGAGATGGTGTGCTTACAGAAGGCCTCTTTGAGGAAGTTGGGAATTTAAAAAAGCCAAGAGCCTCCCAAGGAGAAAGCTCCCTGCTACAGTCAAAGGTCAAAGGTGTTCAAGGGACTAAAACACTGCTGTGACTCAGGGGCCTGGCAGCTGGGGTCAATGAGGAAGGCTGGGCCAGGTCCTGGTACAGAACAGAAAATCTGTAATACTTTAGGCCAGAGGGAGGCAGCTTGATTGCTGGTTGTTTTTTGGTGCCAATCCTAGGGCTTGAACTCAGGGCCTGGGCATTGTCCCTAAGCTTTTGTGCTAAAGGCTAGCACTCCACTTGCATCATAGTTCCACTTCCAGCTTTTTTGTTAGTTAACTGGGGATAAGAGTCTCACAGACTTTTTTGCCCCGGTTGGCTATGAACCTCAATCCTCAGATCTCAGCCTTCTGAATAGCTAGAATTATAGGCAGGAGACACTGGCACCTGGCTTGATTTCTGCTTTTAAAAGATCACTTTACCTTCAGTGGAGAGAACCGAATGCACTGGAGGGAGGAGGAGAAAGAAGTGAGAACATCACTTCCATTAATGTGTGACTGCTGCTGCCTGTAATCCTAGCTACTCAGGAGACAGGAGTAGGAAAAGAGGTCCAAGGCTGCTCCAGACAAAGTTATCCTGAAACCCCATCTGAAAACAAACTAAAAGCATCCTAAGGCCTGGGGATATTGCTCAAGAAGTAGAGCTTGCCCTAGCATGTGAGAGGCCCTAGGTTTAAATCCCATTAACAGTGCTGGGCACTGGTGGCTCACACCTGTAATCCTAGCTACTCAGGAAGCTACGATCTGAGGATTACGGTTTGAAGCCAGCCCAGGTAGAAAAGTCCCTGCAAGATTCTTCTAATTAACTACTCAAAAACTGGAAGTGGCATTGTGGCCAAGTGGTAGAGTGCTAGCCTTGAGCACAAATTGGCTCAGGGACTGTGCCCAGGCCCTGAGTTCAAGTCCTAGAACCAAAAAAAAAAAATCCCCAGTAACAATAATGAATGAATGGACAAATGACTTAACTATCATCATTTAAAAGCTAACCAGTATGAGATCATGCTTATGTAAAGACTTACTAATGATTACAAAGATGCCATGGCTACATGGCCAACATCCTTGCACTGGAGGTAGGCTACAAACCATGAATGGTTCAAAAAATATACATAGCTAAAACAAGCAGGGGAAATATTATTTTTCTATATGTTGAGAATTTTTGTAATACACAGATACAAAAAATGTTTCCAATAGTAATTTTTACAGGAAGTGAGTTTATGGGTGAATTCCACATTTCTGCTTCATACTTTCTTTTTTTTGGTCGGCTGTGGGGCTTAAACTCTGAGCCTGGGCGCTGTCCCTCAGCTCATCAGCTCAAGGCAAGCACTCTACCACTTGAGCCACAGCGCCACTTCTGGTTTTCTGGTGGCTCATTGGAGATAAGAGTCTCAGAGACTTTCCTGCCCAGACTGGCTTTGAGCTGTGATCCTCAAATCTCAGCTTCCTGAGTAGTTAGGGTTATAGGTTTGAGCCACTGGCACCCTGCCTTGCTTCATACTTTTTTTTTTTTTGTCGGTCATGGGGCTTGAACTCTGGGCCTCGGTGCTGTCCCTCAGCTCTTCAGCTTAAGGTGAGCGCTCTACCACTTGAGCTACAGCGCTACTTCCGGTTTTCTGGTGGTTTATTGGAGATAGGAGTCTCACAGTCTTTCCTGCCTGGGCTGGCTTTGAACCGCGATCCTCAGATCTCAGCCTCCTGAGTAGCTAGGATTACAGGCGTGAGCCACCAGCGCCCGGCTTTGCTTCATACTTTCTTAAGTGGCTTAATTTCTGTCATCCGAAAAGGAAAGACAAGCCCTAGAGCCACAGGTATGTTTTCTTCTTGCATGAAGATGCCATGCTCCCTCCCTCGGCCCGGCTCCTTCAGGCTTGATTACAATGCCCCATGCACTGGCCTGCTGCAGGTATGTCCCTGACAGGGGTCAGTCTCAGGTCCCCAGGGTCCTAAGAGCCCTCTGAGCAGTAGCCCACTCACAGCTCAATGCCGTGTTCGATGATTTCTTTTTGCTGCTTGATGACCTCAAACTGCTCTGGGTCATCCTGAATGGTGGTCTGGGTTCCCGAGGACACGGTGGACTCCATGGACGTCACACTGCACCGTCTTGCCATGTCAAGGCCTTTCCCATCCCCTACTTCCTGATCTGTGAGCCTCTCCTGACCTGCAGTGACATAAAAGCAAAAGAGGCCAAATAAGATGACACACTGACATGGCCAAGTGAGCACTAGCTTCACAGTTCCTGCCCGTCTGACAGCAGCAAGGCTGTGCTCTACAAAATCCTCAGTAAAGGGCAGATACATATTTAATATCACTCAGAAACTTAAGTTTTTCATGGAACTTGAGAGGCTCGTTCTAAAACTCACATCAGAATGAAAAATGTAAGAATAGTCAAGACATTTGAAGACAACAAGAAGGATGTGTCCTAGCAAGTTTCCAAGCTTTTTATACAACTCTGATCAATTGAAGAATGTAGTCTTTGTGCCAGAATACACAAATCAATTGAGCGGAAGAGAAACTCCAGAAACAGACTTATAAGCATAGAAACATGTGGAGTATCCTAAAGGTGGTACTTCAAACCGACGAGGGAAAGAGAGAATACTAAAAATGTTGGGAGCAATAATTTCCTTTAACATTCCAGATTAAAAGGCAAAACTTTAACTGGGTGCTAGTGATGCACACCTGTAATCCTAGTCACTTAGGAGATTGAGACCACTGGAGTTCAGGCTTACGGCCAGCCCAAGCAGAAAAGAGTTCATGAGACCCCTTCTCAATGAAAAACTGGATGTGATAACATTCACCTGTAATCCTAGCTACCAGGGAGCCTAACATAGGTGGCCTGCACTAAGGTGCGTGCTAGGCAGGAAGTAAGACTCTACCTGAAAAATAATTAGCAAAATCAGGGTTGGAAGTATGGCTAGTAAAAAAACCCACACAGCAAGCACAAGGACTAGAGTTTTTGGCCCAGTATAGCCAAAAGGAATTCATTAAATATATATATTAAAATAAAAACAGCAGAACCTTTAAAATACTATAGGTATTTATTAGCAAACCTAACTGTTTTGCTCTATTCCAAGACACTTCCCAGCTGCTCTGAAGGAAGGGTCAGCAGAGCTACTCACCGAGGCTGGTCTGGTGATTGGGGTTCACGTACAGGTCTTTGCTCCACTCCACCATGCACTTGAGAATGGACACAAGGCACTCCAGGCCTTTCTTCCTCAGACTAAGCTCCTAAAGGTCAAAAGTGACATAGCACAGACAGACCACCATCAACCAAGAGCAGGCTCATACTGGGCTCCTAAGAGATCCTGGGAGGATGTCAGCAATCACATTAAGGATGGATCTCAAGGAATGGGTAACTGCTGGCATAGGAATTATGGACATGTCAAAAACTGCTGGCATAGGAATTATGGACATGTCAAAAACTCTGGCCAAGCTGGGCGCCAGTGGCTCACGCCTGTAATCCTAGCTATTCAGGAGGCTGAGATCTAAGGATCACGGTTCAAAGCTAGCCTGGCCAGGAAAGTCCGTGAGACTCTTATCTCCAATAAACCACTAGAAAACCAGAAGTAGCGCTGAGGATCAAGCGGTAGAGCATTCGCCTTGAGCTGAAGAGCGCAGGGACAGCGCTCAAGCCCAGAGTTCAAGCCCCATGACCAAACAAACAAAAAAAAACCCCAAAACTCTGGCCAGGGGCTGGTGGCTCACACCTATAATCCTAGCTACTCAGGAGGCTGAGATCTGAGGGTAACAGTTCAAAGGCAGGAAAGTCCATGAGACTCTTTATCTCCAATTAACTAAAGGAAACCAGAAGTGGCACTGTGGCTCAAAGTGGTAGACCAAAAAAGTTCAGGGACAGTGCCCAGATCCTAAGCTCAAGCCCCACAACTGGGTGGGGGAGAGAGAGGAAGGACATGCTTTTGTGTGTGCCAGTCATGGGGCTTGAACTCAGAGACTGGGTGCTGTCCCTGAGCTTTGGTGCTCAAGGCTAGTGCTCTACTATTTGAGCCATAGCTCCACTACCTGCTTTTTTGGTAGTTTATTGGAGATAAGAGTCTTACAGACTTTGCTGCTGTCATGGCTTTGAACCATCATCCTCAAATTTCAGCCTCTTAAGTAGCTAGGATTACAGGTATGAGCCACCAGCAGCTGGCTATGAATATGAATATGAATTTTTTTTGGTCAGTCGTGGGGCTTGAACTCTGGGCCTGCTCAAGGCGAGTGCTCTACCACTTGAGCCACAATGCCACATCTAGTTTTCTGGTGGTTTATTGTAGATAAGAGTCTTATGGACTTTCCTTCCCAGGCTGGCTTTGAACCAAGATCCTCAGATCTAAGACTCCTGAGTAGCTAGGATTACAGGAATGAACCACTGGCACCCAACTACGTCTATGAAATTTTTTTAAAAATATAATTTTGTTGTTATCATTAACATGTTGTACAGAGAGGTTACCATTTCCTAAGTCAGGTAATGAGTACATTTCTTTTTTGGAAAATATCACTCTTTCCTTTACTACCCTTCCCCACCCCATTTCCCACTTCCATTCTTGTCCACAAGTAGAATATAGATTTTTTTAAATAATTAGAATGCCTTCATTTTCCTTCCTTCTCTCCTCCCCATATTTTTTTCTTTCTTTTTTTTTTGTGTTGGAACCAGGACTTGACCTCAGGACTTTGGGCTCTTGCTCTATTTTTTTTTTGCTTATAGCTGGAGCTTTACCACTTGAGTCACACCTCCAGTCTAGCTTTTTTATTTGAAAACTGGGAATATAGTTTAGTGGAATTTTTGTCTAGGCTAGCTTTGAACCACAATCCTCAGATCTCAGCTTTCTGAGTAGCCAGGATTATAAGCTGGGGCCACAGGTGCCCAGCCTAAGTAGCATTTTCTTAAGTAAAAAGTAAATTCAAGGGCTGGGAAGGTGACTCAGTGGTAGAGTGCTTGACTTGCATGCATGAGGCCCTGGGTTCGATTCCTCAGCACCACAAAGTAGAAAAAGCCACAAGCCAGGTGCCGGTGGCTCACACCTATAATCCGAGCTACTCAGGAGGCTGAGATCTGAAGATCATGGTTCAAAGCCAGCCTGGGCAGGAAACTCCATGAAACTCTTATCTCCAATAAACCACCAAAAAACCGGAAGTGGAGCTGTACCTCAAGTGGTAGAGCACTAGCCTTGAGCTGAAGAGCTGTGGGACAGTGCTCAGGCCCAGAGTTCAAGGCTCACGAGCAACAAAAAAATAAAAAAAAAGTAAAGTAGAAAAAGTGACACTGTGGCTTAAGAGGTAGAGAGCTAGCCTTGAGCTGAAGAGCTGAGGGACAGCACCCAGGCCCAGAGTTCAGGCCCCACGACCCACACACACAAAAAAGTAAATTCAAATTATAGAAAATCTAAAAAAAAAAAAAAAAAAAAAAAGAGCCACCATTTTATATTCACAACGCTACATGCTGTGGTGCTAAGGGCAACTTTTACAAGGGTAAAAGTCCATGCATGCAAATTCTATACATAGTTCCATGGGTCCCTGACCCTCCTTTTCCTCCTAGGTACTGTAATAATGGGGCAGTGTCTCTGTTATATAGGGGACTGGAAGGTGACCGAGGGCCTGGCTCCTAGCAGGTCTCTGCAGCATCACCTTCTTGAGTGATGTGCTGATGAGTTCAGAGTCCCACGGCCCACCACCAGCGCACACTGTATCCACAGTGCCGCTGGCCCTGTGAAAGTTGTGGTGAAAACTCTGAGTTCACTGCTTTGTTCACTGCTGTTCTCAGACCAGGGATGACCTCCGCGAGTGGTGGCACTCAACAGAAGCCTACTTCAAATACAACCGAGTGTCTTATAGCCTCACCTGCAGAGGAGTCATTCCCAGCTCATGGCCGCTTCTTCCCTGAGCAATTTTCGATAAATCATTCACAAGGCGCTCAAAAATGTTAGCAGCATTTAGATCACAGTCATAGTTGACATAAATGTCTACCACACACTGGGCATCTTGGGGGGAAAAATTCAAGTATTAGAGATCGAGATCTGAGAGAACAAGAGCTATTTCTTTATTAAACAAGAGTTCTTTGCCAACAAAGCTTTCCCAGTGAACTCCTAACCCAGGTGGCTACATCTCAGTCAGGAAATACCAGTTAGGAGGGAGAAAGGCTGCTGTCAGGCCTGCTCTTGCACTCAGTGAAATCCCAGGCATCCATCCCATCTCTCCAAGGTCCAGTCTCCTCATCAAAGAGAACAGGATGGGCATGGCTGAAGCACCTGCCCAGGGGCCTGGGTATGATGACAAGTTATACCAATTCACCTCAGCACCCAGTCCAGGCTGGGAGCATTAGTATCTCAGAGCCTGAGCTTAATTCACAGTGCTCAGCTTGCAAGCAGCGTGACCAGGTGCCCCAGTTTGCCAGAATTAGGTTTTTTTGGTTGCTAACACCCAAAGCCCCAGCAAATTGGCCTGAGCTGGCCATCCTCTAAAAGAGGACTTCTCATTAGATCAGCAAAAGCCTTTTGGGACACGATTTTCCCCACATTTCATTAGGTAAGAGTTTGGTTTTGGCAGACGGAAGTGTCAAAGTGTTCTGCGCATGTCCAGTGGACGAGCCCCCTCAGGCTGACACGCACCTGCACAGATCCTCGTCAGGGTCTGGATAACCATCCATCTGTGCTCAAAAGAACTTGTGGATGTTTCTAAAATGTTCAGGAATATCTCTTTGAAGAAGACCTATATGACACAAAGACACAAAGAGACAACAGGAGTAATCAAAATCCAAAGTCCTGAGAGACCAGGAGGTCCTGCAGGTGAAGTAGCCTGGGCAGAAGAAGGGGAGCTCCACTGCAGAAGAACCCACTGCAGAAGAACACGGGGACCCTGGCTCATCAGGGGACAGCTGGCAGGGTGGGCCACACCAGATATGTAAACCTCAAAACGCAAGTTGTATGAGACTTGGGGTCTGAATTTTTATGAAAAGGTACGGCATTACTCATCTCTTTTTTTGGAGTGTGGTGGTACATGTCTGTAATCCCAATACTTAGGAGGCTGAGGCAGGAGGACTGTGAATTCCAGGGCAGACTGAGCTATATATAAGACCTTGTCGCAAAAACAAACAAAATAAACTCCTCTCTGGGTTGCCAGAAAATATAATGAGTCACAGTAGTTTGGGGAACTAGACCACCAGCAATTTCCTCATCTGATGTGAATGCCACTAAGTAAAAAACTAATGTGGATGCTAAATCCAAAAGGTTAGTGATACGACAAAACTAACAGGACTTAAGAAACAAAGAACTCCCGCTCATCTGGTTGAACCACTACTAAATATCCTCATGCTGCTGATCACAAATATGGTATATAACATGTGAACACTGTTATATATTACAGACTGTGGTAGACAATTTGCTCCAGGGAAGTTAGAATGAACTTGTGACTTTGAAATTATGTAATCATTTAATCACAATCAAAAAAAAAAAAAAAAAAAAAAAGAACCTCGGGGAAGGGAGGGAGGGAGGGGATGGTAGGGGGAAAACAATGGAGGGGGTAACAATGTTCAAGAGGAAGTGTACTCATAACCTCACTCATGTAACTGTGACCCTCTGTATAGTAGCTTTACAATAAAAAAAAAAAAAAAAAAAAAAAAAAAAAAAAAAAAAAACTAATGTGGAGTCCATACCTCTATCTGCATTTTCAGGTGCATTTTAAAGTTTGAAAGGAGAGTAAGGAAGATGGCAAGAGAGAGTTCGAAGACATCAGGCACAGAAGAGACGCCATTCTTGGACAATGCCACACAGAGGTACTGTTTGATGGCATTGATGAACATCTCATGGGTTCTGAAGACCGGGCCAGCATTCTGCAACACGGACAGAAGAAGTTGCAGGGAGACCACTTTGGAGCGAAGCTCATGGGACCTGTGAAGAAAAGAAACAATGACAATGCAAGACCGTCAAGCACAAAGCAGTGTGCTGCTCTGTGTTTTTCCCCTTGCTGGGCAGGTGATCTACTGTTTAAGTTGGTGTCAATTCTGGGGCTTGAACTCAGGGCTGGCTCTGAGCCTTTTCATTCATGGGCTAGCACTCTACCACTTGAGCCACAGTTTCACTCTGGCTGTTTGGAAGTTAATTGAAGATAGAATCACACAATCTTTCCTGCCTGGGCTGGCTTCAAACCACAGAACTCAAAATCTCAGTCTCCTGAATAGCTAGGATTACAAGCATGAGCCACTGGCACTCAGCTTGTTTTTTAAGACAGGATCTCACTCTGTAGCCCAGACTGGCTGGGATTGTGATTCTCTGGACTTATATCTGCAATGCTGGCATTACAGGCAGACACTGCTACATCTGGCTAGAATGGTATGCTTCTTAAGAAGGCCTTGCTTCTCCGTCTTTTTCTGAGGCCAGGGAGTTGAGAATAACAACACTTAGATGTTAATAAAATGAGGGCATTCTAAGTCCTCCTGGAACCATAGCCTTTTTTTTTTTTTTTGCCAGTTTTGGGACCTGAACACTGGGCCTGGGCACTGGCCCTGAGCTTTTGTGCTCAAGGGTAATGCTCTACCACTTGAGCCATAGCTCCACTTCTGGCTTTATTTATCTGTAGTTTAGTGGAGATAAGAGTCTCACAAACTTTCCTGCCAGGCTGGCTTCAAACTGTGATCCTCAGATCTCAGCCTCCTGAGTAACTAAAATTATAAGCAGGAGCCCCTATTCTGCTGTCTCTTGACCACAAAGCAGGTAGTGGAGGATTCAAGCGGGAGTCCACCGAGTCCAGCAAGCAGGCTCTCTGCAGCTGAACTGCCAGGAGTCAATCACCTCAGGTCATCTATAGGAAGAGGAGGTCTCCACCTCCTTCTCCTTACTCTATGTCTGCCAGCCTTACAGCCCACCCCACCCCTTTGAGGTCAAGAATGACTGGAAATGGAACATTTTAGCTGGGCATGGTTGTACATACCAGTGATCTTAGCATTTGGGAGGCTGAGGCAGGAGGTTCCTGAAGTGACACCCCCTACCAAAATTAGGGTATCTGAGCTACTGTTCACTGGCAAGGAAGTCCTTCCTGCTGTCTAGACAGTCCCTCTTGTTGCAGGGAACTTACTCTCTCCCCTGAGCTCTCTCCCTTGGGAGAGGAGGAATGTGTGACCCCAGGCTGAGTAGCCTATAAGTCTGCAAGCTCCCAAGCATACCCCAATTAATATCATCCATCATATTCCCATGTGAACTGCCAACACATATTGTAAGGATAGGGCAAGCATTAAAGGCAGGACCTCTCTGTAGAGAGAAACTCCAGGATAATTACTAAAGGAACTTCTCAGAAGTAGGGGCTCAGGGAAAATTAGGGAGTTAGACAAGTTAAGTGTGGTAAATAACAATAAAACTCAGAAAGAGCCAGGAAACCTGGACGGTAGTTTGATTTTGGATGTGATAAGAAGTTTGGAATGTGTTTTGATAAATGTCAGCTAAACCCTTATCTGGGATGAAACAAAGGAGGCCTGGAAATGTAACTTTTGCCTCCATGATGTATTGCTTCTGTAATTGCTATTTTTACTAACTGCAAGTTCTGCCTCTGGAAACCTGCTTGCTATCATGTACACCTCCACCTGTCCACCTGCATGTGGCTTTAAATCCTGCCACAAGAGAACTTAGCCACTGGTCTTCACTGTCTTGGTATAGTGGAGGTCAGACCCCATGGCTAATAAATGATTCCTAGCCCGAATGACTGAGTGTTGGTGATTCCTTTCGCTGATCTCAGGTTCAAGTCCCACCAGGCCCCAGGAAGATGGAATATTTCAGTTCCTAAATTCTAGGCCAGCCTGAACTACTAAGCAAGAAACTGACTTCAAAAATACAAAACAAATACAAAATAAGGAATTAGAGAGGGAAGAAGGAAGATGAGGAGGAAGCAGAGGAGGAGGAGGAAGAGGAGGGGGTAGCTGGGAAAGTGGAATATGTTAATTTCCTACAGGAGTCTCAGTACTTAGTAGCAGCATGCTGAATAGATGAGTTGAGGATTCTCCGTGGGGGGTATGACTGTAACAAAGTGACTGTGAAGTGCAAGGCCCTGTGCTCTGGGCCACACCCAGATCACTCCATTTAATAAATCCTGCAGGGTGATTTTCCATCTTACCAGTTTTCCTATGAGGTTCAGACATTCATACAAGCCCTGAAGCTGCTCTCAAGTACCCATGCCCAGGTGGGAACGCTCTGCCTGCACTTCCCCTGCACAGACTGATACCCCTGGGCTAGTTTGTTTGGACACAGAAACATTTGGGTTTTTGGGGTTGAATTTGGGGCTTGCCATGAAGCATAGGTTTCCAAGCAGGGCAGGGCACACTGTTTGCAAGCATTCTGTCCTGCCACACACTGGGAGATCATATCTACTAGTCAGTAAGGTTGTTTGCAAGCATTTTGTCCTGCCACACACTGGGAGATCATATCCACTAGTCAGTAAGGTTGAGGGCATGTGTTCTAAATACCAGTCATCTTTTTAACATGTAAACGGAGAAAAGCAAAACTGGGCAGTAAAGGCGGAGTCATCGAGGAAGGACTGCAGTGGCTGGAAGGACTGTGGAGACTGGAAAGCTACAGAACCATTCACACCGACCAGAGGAGGAAGAAACCAGAGCCACACACTTCTGCATCACTGGGGTACAGATGCTGTGAACGACTGGGTGCTTACTTTGGATCTGGGGGGCCTTCCCCAAGGGGCTTCATGGAAAGCTTGCACAGGGAGCGAAACACCAGGAAGGCATCCTTCTGCAGAACATGAGAGAACCTGGCGGCCACCGGATGTCCCTGCACATCTGATTCCTAAGATTAGAAATGAAACAGAAACTGACCAGACAAAATACAAGAAATGTACCCAATGCACGGAGAGATTCCTTAGGAAAAGAGGTGCTATGGGGAATCATTAGAGCAATTTTCTTATTTCTTTTTCATTGGATCAAAGGGTCTATGTTCCACATCCATGCTGGCCTGGAATTCACAATCCTCCATGTCAGCTTCCTGAGTGCTAGGATTATAGGTGTCTGCTACCACATATGGCACTGATGGCTCATGCCTGTAATCCTAGCTACTCAGGAGGCTGAGATCTGAGGATCTTGGTTTGAAACCAACTCGGGCAGGAAAGTCCACAAGACTCTTATCTCCTATTAATCACCAGAAAACTGAAGTGGAGCTGTGGTTTGCAGTGATAGAGCACTAACCTTGAGCAAAAATGCTCAGGGACAAGGCCCAGATTCTGAGTTCAAGTCTATGACCGACCAAAAACAAGGGGGATATTTATAATACTGCATCAGGGCAAATGTGAAAAAAAAATGATAGGCACCTTAAAAGTGAACTACATTTAAAATAAAAGTATATATAAACATAATAAGGATTGGTATCATTTACAGACAAGTTCTAAGAATTAAGAAAACACAGAAACTTTCCTCTCAGGCAAAAACCATGAATAAGCAATCCATAAAGATGCAAATGAGCAACAAACCTGAGCAACCCAGCCCTCAGCAGTGAGGCAGGACCCTCCTCCACCAGGCTGGCCAGGTATGAATCAATTACTGTCCTTTTAATGAAGGAAGGCAAAAGAGTAGCCTGCCACTTTCCCAGAACACTAATTCAGGGCAGGAATCAAAATCTTACTTTCCACCCTCTTCCTTTATCTTTTCCTTTTCCTCACTTCCCTGTCCCCTACTTCCCTCCTTTTCTTTCTCTTTTCTTTTCTGTTTTTTGCAGTGCGGGGAACAGAACTCCAGCCCCATGCACCAAGCAAGTTCTACCTCTAAGCTACAGCCCCAGAGCTTCCAACTCTTGACCCACTAATAAATACAACTTGTAGAAATTTATCCTTAAGAAAGAATTAGGAGGGGTTGGGAAGGTGGCTCAGTGGTAGGATGCTTGCCTTGCATGCATGAGGACCTGGGTTCGATTCCTCAGCACTACATAAGCAGAAAAAGTCAGAGGTTGCACTGTGGCTCAAGTGGTAGAGTGCTAGCCTTGAGCTGAAGAGTGGAAGGACAGTGCCCAGGCCCAGAGTTCAAGCCCCACGACCGACAAAAAAAAAAAGAAAGAAAGAATTAGGAGCTGGGCATGGGTGGCTCACACTTGTAATCCTAGTTTCATAGGAGGCTAAGAACTAAGGATCTCGGTTCAAAGCCAGCCTTGGCAAGAAAGTCCTCAAGACTTTTATCTCCAATTAACCACCAGAAAACTGGAAGTGGTGCTGTGGCCTAAGTGATAGCGTGCTCTCCTTGAGTTGAAGAGCTCAGGGACAGTGCCTAGGTCAAGAGTTCAAGCCCCAAAACCAACAAAAAGAAAAAAGGAAGAAAGAATTAGGGATCTACATGAAATTCACCTAGGAGGATATTTGATGTGAACTGGTAAAAGGGAACTGGTTAAACAGACTATGATAATCCCCACAGAATTTACATAATCATTACAATTTGGTTAGCTGTATGTGTGCTGATATGGGAGAACACCCCCATGCAGTGGTGTGTGAACAAAGCAAGTCACAGCTTCACATTTCAATACAAGGCCCTGCAAGGCTGAACACACAGGGATGACATAACTGCAAGGGAACAGAAACTGGTTCTTGGGGAGAGAAAAAAATTTTACACAAAGACATATGTACAGTGTATGTATCAGCTGCATGGAAATAAAAAAGGAAATGGCAATGCTGGCCAACATACCAGATTATCCGCTGATGACAATGACTGCCTGTCGTCCGCTATGCCATTGGTCTGGGAGTTTTCATCAACCCCAGGGAGAACAGGACATTCCTGACACTCTAGCTCACTTAGGACCCTGTCGGGTTCTGCCAGTCCGTGTTTTTCTGCTGCTGCTTGAAACAAAAGTCATCAAAAATTATTATTAGCTCCAAAGACAGCCTGACACCAGAAAGGAACCAACCCCTCCACTGTTACTTTGCCCATCATGCCATACTACTTGGCCATGGTGGTGCTTTTGTTTGTATCTATAGGACGCAGCTTTACTGCCAGGCAGGGTAGTATGTGGCAATGCACAAATCACTCCGGGGCCTGTGGCACCTCCAAAATCATGCAATGCAGCAGCTCTGCACACACCTCCCATCCATTTGTGACAAGGATTAGAGGCAGCTAGACAAAAAACACACAGCAGGGCTGGGAGGGTGGCTCAGTGGTAGAGTGCTTGCCTTGCATGCATGAGACCCTGAGTTTGATTCCTCAGCACCACATAAGCAGAAAATGCTGGAAGTGGCTCTGTGGCTCAAGTGGTAGAGTGGTAGCCTTGAGCTGAAGAGCTGAGGGACAATGCCCAGGCTCAGAGTTCAGACCCATGATCAACAGAAAGAAAAAAAGAAAAAACAACATTTTTTTAAAGGGCCATTTCAGCAGCCACCAACATGGATCTCAGGATTTGGACCAATGTCCTGACCTGGGAGGCACATGGAGTAGATCTCTGCATCTACCATGACAAGACTGTGGTCCTTGACCCTCAGCCAGATGAGAAGAGCAATCACTAAGAACCCCTGTGCAGAATGGGTGGTGGCAGGCTGAGTTGCCAGGCACTCCCTGCACAGGTGGGCAGGCAGAGTGTGAGCAGCGAGGGCAGGCATGTGTCCTTGCACAGGCGGGCAGGCAGTATGTGAGCAGCGAGGGCAGGCATGTGTCCTTGCACAGGTGGGCAGGCAGTGTGTGAGCAGCGAGGGCAGGCATATGACCTTGCGCAGGCGGGCAGGCAGTGGTGTGAGCAGCGAGGGCAGGCATGCACGCTTGCACAGGCGGAGCAGGCAGTGTGTGAGCAGCGAGGGCAGGTATGCGCCCTTGCACAGGCGAGCAGGCAGTGTGTGAGCAGCGAGGGCAGGCATGTGTCCTTGGGTCCTCACCTTTTACAGCAGAGGTGACCACATCTTCTAGGATGTCCTTCACCACCTCCTGGGCTCCATCCTCGCCCCCTGTGCATACCCAAACACACAAGCACAAAGGACATTTTCAAAGAAAGAAAGGAAAGGAGAAGGGGTTAATTAAGTCAATGTCCCTTTAGTTGCTCTCAGAAGGCAAATGGTACAAATAAGTTCTGAAGGCTGATCTCACTGGTCAGCAGTCGACCCATAGACAGCTGCTCCTCTGCTGAGTTGAGAATTTACTACACTGTAAACAGGATTGCTCTGTAAAATGTAACCACTTCAGTGGAAGAAGTGCAACCACATTTATTTATTTACTTACTTACTTATTGAAACTTAGTCCTGGAAAAAGAGTTGCTCTACTACTGAGGTACAATCGCATCCTTAAACTTTTCAATCAGCTGCCAATATGTATAAACTATACTCATAAAAACCTAGATGTGTTTTTTTTAACCCAACAATGTGGCAACATGGGGACCAGCTGGCTGGAACCAGCAGAAGCCACCCTCCTAGACAGGGAGGAGCCCTGCTTCCCATTACCCCCAGCCCCTACCTTTCCACTGAGGCCACCTGCCAGGTATCATAGCTCCACTTCTGGCTTTTGGTGGTTAACAAGATAATAGTCTCAATTACTTTCCTGCCAGGGCTGGCTTCAAACTATAATCCTAGATCTCAGCCTCCTAAAGTAGCTAGGACTATAGGCGTGAGCCACTAGCTCACTAACTTCTTACTCACTCCCAAACCTTGAGACAGTGGCTCATACCCATAGTCCTAGCTATTTACTCACTTCTGAACTCAAGTTCAAGGACAGAAAAGTTGACAATACCCAATCTCTACAATAACCAGCAAAAAAGCTGGGCTAGAGGTATGGCTCAAGTGGTAGAGTGCCAGTTGAACAAGCAAGCTGAACAACCTCAAGGGCCTAAGTACGTACACACACACACACACACACACACACCACACACACACCACACCACACCACAAGAAGATGTTGGTATCTATGAGGATCCTGGAACCAATCTCCACAAACATTATATTCTTAGTCCAGGAAAGGGGTAGGATCAGGAAGCCCTACTTCTCAAAGGGGTTTGCTGTTGAGGACAAAGCCCAACAGAGCAGTGGCCCTAAGCAGCAAGCAGCAACTCTATCTGGTAGTCCACTTGCTTTCCTTGCTGACACACAAGAGCCAGAGGCAGGTCTCAGGAGGGGCTGGATGCCATGCTAAGCACAAATAGATCTGCTATGATTAAGATTCAAGCATGCTGTAAAGAGGACCACCAAATCAATTAAATGCTTGAAAGGTGAAAGGAGACATAAACACTGGCCATGCTGGTTTCCGGAGGCTGTCACCAAGTACCACTGCTGTTTCACAGCTTGCCACACCAAGTGAGCTCGCCTAGAATGAATTTAGCTAGGAGAATCACGCTGGACCAGGCACTGCAAGCAACCTAGGTCACACTAGTTTTTCTTACTAACAGATCCTTCATTCTCTTTTGGAAAGAAATTGCCTCCCCCTCCCAGCATCCCTTGTAGACCAGGTGCTCTCGTGACCACATTCTACCCAGTGAAGACGAGTATAACCTCTTGGGTGGTGCTGGCTTGCAGGAAAGCTTCTCTTTGAAGAGTGGAGTAACTCAGTTGGCAAGGAATCTTTTTAGTCCAACCCTCTTCCTCTTGCCTGACCCATAAGGTGGCCTTGAGGACCAAAGTCAAGCATTAACAATAAGAAAGAACAGGAGTCTGACTCAAGGCCTTCCAAAATCCCTGTTCCTTGTACAATAAGGAGGGACCACGGGGATGGGAGAGGTGTGGTCTGACATCCTCGCTGATGCAGCTCTATGTGTGTGTGGCACTGTCACAGGCATTTGGAGGACACCACTAAGACTCATTCCTGTGAGTCACAGCCCCCCGGGACTGCTGCATGAAGGCTGCTGCATGCTACTGTGCTAGAGGCAAAAGCAAGAGAAAGGAGATGAGGACTAGAGGGGCAAATAAACACATGGGACAGTAAAGCATAACATATTTACCTTCTAGAATTAAGGTTTGATATGTCTCACTCTAAACACTTACTAATCTGTGACATGTGAGAATACTAAAGGAAAAGCCCTCAGCTACACTCCTACATGTTCTTTTGACTAGGAAATAGCTGTCTATAGAGAAGAAGCGCATTAGGGAATTCACTGTTCCCAAATACATGTTCACCACATGGCTAACAAAATGATGTAAACCAATGGGCTAAAAAGCTCATTGGAAGGCAGACTGTCAACAAGCCAGAGCTGGGCGCTGGTGGCTCATGCCTGTCATCCTAGCTACTCAGGAGGCTGAGATCTGAGGATCACAGTTCAAAGCCAGCTGGAGCAGGAAAGTCTGTGAGACTATTATCTCCAATAAACACTAGAAAACTGGAAGTGACGCTGTGACCCAAGTGGTAGAGCTGAAGAGCTGAGGGATAGCACTCAAGCCCAGAGTTCAGCCCCACGACCAACAACAACAACAAAAAACAAGCCAGAGTACTAAGTACTGATTTTAAGTAAATGTGATCTCTCTGTACATCACCTTTATAATAACAATAAAGTAATTAAAAAAAAAAAAACAGAAGAGAAGGGGTGCATTTTGTTGTTGTTGTTTTTTTACTCAAATGTCCATCTGAGATTTCTTCCTCTTTTGATCAATAAAAACAATTCTTTTGTTGTTGTTGTTATTGTTGTTGGTCATAGGGTCTGAACTCTGGGTCTGGGCGCTGTCTCTCAGCTCTTCAGCTCAAGGCTAGTGCTTTACCACTTGAGCCACAGCGTTACATCTGGCTTTTTCTACTTATGTGGTGTTGAGGAATCAAACCCAGGGCCTTATGCATGCAAGGCAAGCACTCTACCACTAAGCCACTTTCCCAGCTCAAAAAACACAATTCTTAAAGCTAAAGATCTAGTACTATTCACTATTGGGCATATATCCAAAAGAAAGCCAATCAGTAAACAAGAAAGCCATCTGCATATCTATGTTTTCGACAGCACTGTTAAACACTGCCAAAAGGTGGAATCAGCCAAGACACCCAACACATACATGGATGGAGGGTATGGGAGATACATCTGAGAGACGAATATCATGGAACACAACCATAAAAACAAAAACAAAATGAAATCGTGTCTTCTACAGGAAAATGGATGGAATTGCAGGAATCATCTTGGGCAAAATAAGCTGAGCCCCAAAAGCTAAGTATCATATGTCTTCATTCATAATGTATAGACTATCCATAGACATGTACGTATATATGTATAAGTATATAGAGAGAGACCGAGGCAGAGATGCGGAAAAGGTAGGAGAGGGCTGATCTCTGATCCATGCCCCAGGAAGAGCCTCACGGGGCCACCAAGTACTGGCAAAAAAAATTCCCACAAAGCCAGATGCTGTGGCTCATGCCTGTAATCCTAGCTACTCAGGAGGCTGAGATCTGAGGATTATGGTTCAAAGCTAGCCCAGGCAGGAAAGTCCATGAGTCTCTTATCTCCAATAAACCACTCAGAAAACCAGAAGTAGTGAAGTGGCGCTGTGGCTCAAGTGGTAGAACGCTAGCCTTGAGCTGAAGAGCTGAGGGACAACGTTCAGGCCCTGAGTTCAAGCCCTATGACCGACCAAAAAAAAAAAAAGTCACAATATGTCAACTGCAAATACTATTTCTTTGCATCATATTTCAAATCCTTTCTCTCTCTTTCTTTTATTCTTTCTCCCTCTCTCTCTCTCCCTCTCTCTCTCACTCTCTTTCCTTCTGTCATAAGTGCTGTACCGCTTAAGCCACAGTGCCGTTTCCGGTTTTCTAGTGGGTTTTTTTATTGGCAATAAGAGTCTCACGGACTTTCCTGCCTGGGCTGGCTTTGAACCTCGATCCTCAGATTTCAGCCTCCTGAGTAGCTAGGGTGACAGGTGTGAGCCACTGGCACCCCGGCTTCCGTGAGACTCTTATCTCCAATAAACCACTTGAAAACCGGAAGTGGCAGTAGAGCGCTGGCCTTGAGCTGAAGAGCGCAGAGACAGCGCCCAAGCCCAGAGTTCAAGCCCCAGGACCGACCAAAAAAAGAAGAAAGTTTATACTGGATTTCACCAGCATGGTGTTACAAAGTAATGGAAATTACTTGAATCATGCTCATAAATGAGTGCCCAATACCATTGTCCTATTATGCTTACTTTAATCTGCATCATATAATAAAAGAGGATTTTTAAAAAAAATATCAATTGTACAAAGCCAAGGATTTCATCTTAATATAGGAATACATACTTATAAGTTATTAAAAGATTTCAAATCACTCTTTATTACAGCAAAATTTCTACTATGTTTCTACAAAAGTACAGACACCTTTGTCAGAAAATACATTGATTGCCAGATGCTGGTGGCTCACGCCTGTAATCCCAGCTACTCAAGAGGCTGAGATCTGAGTATAGCAGTTCAAAGCCAGCCCAGGCAGTAAAGTCCATGAGACTCTTATCTCCAATGAGCCACCAGAAAACCAGAAGTGCTGCTGTGGCACCAAGTGGTAGAGCGCTAGCCTTAAGCAAAAAAGCTCAGGAACAGTGCCCAGGCCCTGAGTTTAGGCCTCACTACCACTCAATAAATAAATAAATAAATTTCTGAGTGTGTGCGCCATGTGTGTGTGTCAGGCACCATTCCGGGTATTGAGAATACAACGTGAACACAGCCACCTAGGCCTCCAAGCAGAAGCAGGTAACAATAGTAGACACCGGTAATTTCAGGTACTCATATGTATTAGGAAGAAAGAGAGGACAGATAATGGTACATGTATGATGAGAAGCTGCAAAGAATAATCAGGGAAGCTTCTCTCAGTGTACTAAGAGACCTGAAGATAAGAGAGTGTAGTGGAGAAGGGATGGCAAAGACATCATGGCAGGAACAAGCACAGCATTTTCAAGAACCACAAGTGGTGCCATGTGCCTTGTGTGGCAAAGCAAGAGGTATGTGGAGGAGACAGAGAGGTGGACTAGGGCCCAGGCAGGCCATGGGACAGGCCTGGCATATATTGCACTCTTGGGCAAGATGAGGAATTACTTACTAAAAGAGTTTAAGCAGGAGAGAGTCACTATCTAAATATGCTTTTAGGAAACTACTTTGGCTGCTGTACAGAAAGTGGGGTGTAAAGGAAGCACTTTTGTGTAGCCCAGAGAGAACTGCTTTTTTTTATCTGCACAGCTACATTTACTGTAGTGGGTTTAAATATTAATATTTATTGATCACCCACAGCTTGATAAGGGTTACAGTGAAAACCTGGTCTTTGCCCTGAGCGCTACAAGACAAATACTATGGCAGACATAGAGAGCTACCACTCTTAGGACACATGGCAACAAGAATGAGAGGACAGCAAGTCTTGGTGGTAACTTTCTTTTTTTTGCCAGCCCTGGGGCTTGAACTCTGGGCCTGGACACTGTCCTTGAGCTTCTTTTTGCTCAAGGCCAGCACTCTACCACTTAAGCCACAATACCACTTCTGGCTTTTTCTGTGTATGTGATGCTGAGGAATTGAACCCAGGTCTTCATGCATGCTAGGCAAGCACTCTACCACTAAGTCACATTCCCAGCCCTTGGGGTAACTTTCTTTTGGCCTTTCCTTGGTTCAATGAATACAGCATACCATGCCAGTAACTTGCTCTGTTCCAGGCATGCTAAATACTCTGGTAAATTGCCCAGGAGTAAAAGCTACTTCAATATGCATGCTTTAATAGGGAAAATCCTACCAAGAGACCTTTCCAGCTGTGTGAGCAGAGGATAAAAACAATCAGTTATAGAGAGGTCAGATATTTGGTGTAAACAACCAGCCTGAGTGAGCAACAAGTTGACAGAATCATTCAGGAAAGGCAAATTCCTGAAAACCAAGACTTACCTCCAGCCTAGGAGATCCAACATCAAAGGTGAACAGGACAGCTCAACCCAAGACCTCAGGTTTAAGATTTCATCTACTTTCAGGCTCTTACCAGGCATAGGATCATTTTTTATTTAAAAAAGCAAACCCAAATAAGTGATATACCAGTGACTAGAAGGAAACAAAGCTATATCTGTTTTCCCAAATGTGCCATCACCTACCACCCATGCACCTGCCACCAGAGTTCTGACTCTTTAGAGGCTTCTGAGTGTGTCTTAAGTGCAGAGCCCTGGCAAGGCAGAGATGCAATGTGCACAGGATTAACTTTAGGACAGCTAAGAAAGACAATGAATGATTCATCTCTGAGTATCTTCCCCATAGCTAAGTGCCTAAGCTGAGCTACTACGCAGAGGCTGCCATGGACCAGTAGTGGCAACATCCCTTCTAGGAAGGACTCAAAGACAACCCCCATTAGACTGCAGGCCTCACTGGCTGTGTGCCGCAAAAGATAAGCAGAAGGAATCAAGGGAAAATCCTGGATAGACAAGCTGCCCTCCGAGCTTTCCTTCTGATCTTATCAGATACCTGTGTGGCCATCAGCCACAGGCAATGCCCTCTCCACTCAGAAGGCTTGCTGTACCTGGCAGTGATGGGCCTCTTTCTCCGGGTGTGTCTCCATTCTCTGAGCTCACTTTCCCAGTGTCACTCCTGGCATGTTCACCGTTGGGTAAATCTGTTTTTTCAGGAGTTGTTGGTTTGCTTTGTGCCTGGCTCTGCTTCAAACGGTTCAACTTTGGGGATCCTGCTGCAGCCTGAATCACGGGGGACTGGGGTTTTGACTGGATTGGTTTTTCCAGTTCTCTCGCCTCCTGCAACTAAAAGGCAACAGAAAGGGACTCAATCTAGATGGTCTGAGCATTTTGGGAAAGAACAAAAAAAGTATACCAGCCTATTGCTTAAAAGATCTGCAACTACCCGGATACAATTTCTCAAAGGAAACAGATTCAAAGCAAACTTGGAATGGGATAAACTCAAAGCACATACTGAATACTTACTTCTAAGGCATACTTCTGAATGCATGCTAGATTCTTGCTGATTTTAATTAAGAGCAAAAGCCTAGTACAAAGAGTCCTTGGGCAGGAGGGGTAAAGTTTAAAGTGCTAGTGAACCCACATGGAGGGACTCAGCACAGGATGTCCGGCCCCCAGCAGCCAGGTCTGTTGTCACTCACCACCTGGTTTTCCATGCGGGTGAAGATGACATTGAGCATCTGGGTGAGCGTGGCCTTGGCAGTGGTTTGATTGATAAGGTTTTTGCTGGCCAAATAGATATTGTAACATGTTCTCACAGTTTGCAGGATAGTGCCTTCATGAATCTCAATGTGTGGGGAAGTCACCGCAGTCAGCAGAGCCTGAAGTACACAGGGGAAACAAGTCACCTTCACAAACAGCCACCTCTCTCCTGCATCCCTTGGCCACATGGCCTAGAGGACCTTGATGGCTCTGGTTTTTTTTTTACAAACCCTACAATATCCCTGCCAACTGAACTGAATAATTAGTACCAAGAGCCAGTTTCCTGCTGTTCTGAGTGTAAAAATGCATTACTAACCCTTGAAAACCCAATTACTTAAACTAATTAGTTGACTGAAATAGGTTTTCTGTTGGTTTGTTTCTTAAATGTCAGACTTCTGAATGTTAACACTGATTGAAAAATCTAGAATGAAAATTGCAGACACTTCTCTCAGGAAGAAAAATCTCCCACTTGATTTTACCCACAGGAATCACAAAACATACATTTTTTGATGAGCAGTCAATCGCAGATGGGTTTGAAAGGCCTTGAGAAAGGTGTGAATGACATGGAGTCATTTGTCATGAAGCTAATACAGTAAAGGCCTAAGACCTGCAAGGTGTCTAAAACCAATTCTGATACCAGGCATGGGTGGCTCACATGTGTAATCCTAGCTACTCTGGAAGCTGAGATCTGAGGATCTCAGTTCAAAGCCAACCCAGGCAGAAAAGACCCCCTGGGACTCTTATCTTCAATTAACCACTCAAAAACCAGAAGTAGAGCTGTGGCTCAAAGTGGTAGTGCTCTAGCCTTGAACAACAGAGCTCAGAGACAGAACGCAGGCCCTGAGTTCAAGCCTCATAACTGACCAAAAGACAAAAATAAAATAAAATCCATCCTGCCCCTACTCCCTGATAAGCTGATGCTACTAGCCCAGACCAAGCCACCTGGCAGCAGACATGGAACAGGGCAGCAAAGTGGGGTACGGAGGACTGGGACAAGTGAATGACACAAGCACCCATGAAGGCCTGCTGAGAAACAGCAAAGACCAAGCATTTCAAGATGATTTAACTCACATGTGAGTTACAGTGTTATTAGTACAACTGTTTAGTTGGAAAACACACCTGGTTTTCCTCTCTTTGTCTCAAACCCTGCTAATAAATTCTCATATTTAACAAAAGAGCTGAGTGATGCTTCCACAATTTCTGCTCAGTTCAGCATCACCTGAGACAACTAACATACTAAGAAATTAGAAACCAAGGTTCCCAAAGGAGCTGGCTTTCTAATCTAAATTCCTAACAGGCAAACACACAGAAATACCTTAATTATTTGTAACTGAACTCCTTCATCCGTCTGAGGTCCCTGAAAACAGTTGCATATGGTTTCAACAATCCTGTCAATCAGCCGCTTCCCTGGGGCTCCACTGTCTGGGGCGTTGCCGGTGATGTGCCCATATGCGATGAGTTTCTAAACACAGAATGAGCAGATATTAAGAGTTTCTGCCTGCCCAGAAGCAGGGCTGCTGCCAACAGACAAGACAGGCAGGGAGCATGGCCTTCCCTTCCAGATCTATAGCTGCCTCTGATCCCAGCAGCCTGGCAAGCACTACCACTGTATGTGGCCTTCCTCCACTCTCTCCTGGCAGTAAAAGAGCCTGCCACTGCAGGCTCCAATGCCAATCATAGGCACAGAACTCACCAACACACATCTGTATGCACATCTGTGCAAAACACAAAGATTAGAGCCAAACACACTGAAGACAGAGTAGAAGAGTAGTTCCCCCAGAACGCAGATGAGGGTGCTGGTGACAGGAGTGACCAAGATGATAAAATTATCTGGGTAGAGTGTGGTGCTGCCTGCAAAACCACTGAACTATCCTAGCTACTCAGGAGGCTGAGGTCTGAGGATCACAGTTCAAAGCCAGCCCAGGCAGAAAAGTCTGAGAGACTCTAACTACCAAAAAGCCAGAAGCAGAGCTATGTCTCAAACACAGAGTGCTAGCCTTGAGCAAAAAAATCTAAGGGACAGTGTTCAGGCCCTGTGATCAAGCTCTAGTGACAGTCCCCCACTACAAAATAATGATATGTTTTGCTTACATAGAGAACTAAGTAGCTTGCACAATAAGACTAGAACACCCAGCCGGCACCAGTGGCTCTCGACTGGAATCCTAGCTACTCAGGAGGCTGAGATCTGATTATCTCAGTTCAAAGCCAGCCTGGACAAGAAAGTCTGTGAAACCTTTTTTTTTTTTTTCCTGGTTGGTCGTGGGGCTTGAACTCTGGGCCTGGGTGCTGTCCCTCAGCTCTTCAGCTCAAGGAAATGCTCTCTACCACTTGAGCTACAGCGCCACTGCCGGTTTTCTGGTGGTTTATTGGAGATGTAGTCTCACAGTCTTTCCTGCCTGGGCTGGCTTTGAACGGTGATCCTCAGATCTCAGCCTCCTGAGTAGCTAGGATTATAGACGAGAGTCACCAGTGCTGGGCTTGTGAAACTCTTATCTCTAATTAACCACCAGAAAACTGTAAGTGGTGCTGTGGTAGAATGCTTGCCTTGAACTGAAGAGCTGAGGGACAGCACCCAGGCCAAGAATTCAAGCCCCATGACAAAAAAAAAAAAAAGACTAGAACACTCGATACTGGCCTGTGTGTGCGTGTGTGTGTGTGTGTGTGTGCGCGCGCGCGCGCATGCGTGTGTGTGCGTGTGAGTGTGCATGCGCGCATGCACGGCAATTCTAAGACTTGAACTCTGAGTTTGGAAACCATCCCTGAACTTTGTGCTCAAGACTACAGATCTACTACTTGAGCCACAGCTCCACTTCTGGCTTTTGGGGGGTTAACTGGAGATAATAGTTTCCAGGACTTTCCTGCCTGGGCTGGTTTTGAACCACAATCCTCAGATCTCAGCCTCCTGAGTAGCTTGTATTAGCTACTCAGTGACATGAGCCACTGATGCCTGGCTTTTTTTCCCTCCAGTACTGGGAATGGAACCCAGGGTTTTGTGCATGCCAGGCAAATGCCCTACCACTGAGCTACATCCCAGCCCCACCTTTTCATTCTTTTAGAATGTTCAATGTCAGTATATTTTATACTCCAGAACTTAAAGTAAAAGCAGTTCAGTTCCACATCTACATTATTAATGTCTGTCCCTCAGATGGCTGGCCTGGTTACAGATAGGTGTGCACGGGGGTCACTTGCCCATCATCAGCTCTCAGCATGAAGAATCTGAGTGCTCAGGAGCCTCAGAAGTTCCAAGCTGGCTCAGTCTGTGCCACCTTAGGGGTATCAGTTCAAACCCAGGCCCAGGTTCCCAGTCAAAAAATGTGGAGTATAGCCGGGTGCCAGTGGCTCATGCCTGTAATTGTAGCTACTCAGGAAGCTGAGATCTGAGGATCACAGTTCAAAGCCAGCCAGAGCAAGAAAGTCCGTGAGATTCTTATCTCCAATAAACCACTAGAAAACCGGAAGTGGCGCTGTGGCTCAAGTGGTAGAGTGCTTACCTTGAGCTGAAGAGCTGAGGGACAGAGCCCAGGCCCAGAGTTCAAGTCCCATGACCAATCCCCCCTCCCCCCAAAAATGTGGAGGACAGCTTTGATCAGTGTTTTCTCCAAACTAGCAAGGGAATCTAAAGGGCAACCAGCTAAAGGCACTCTGCTTGGGTGAGGTGGGAAAACTCACAGACGCCTTTATCCTGCTAGGTTTCTGCCTATCACATGCCTGCCTCTGCGCACAGAAAGCAGGCAAGAATCCTGCCATTACCTATAACACTCAGCAGAATCATGGTGCCATTTCTCAGTGGTTTTTCTCCATCAACATCTACAAAGTACAGAATTCCATAAGCAGAAAGACAGATTAAGATAGCAGCTAATGGAGTGGAGAAGCAGGTGGAAGGCGGCATTGTCTCTGCTGCTCAAGCCCAGACTCCTGGAGAATTAGTGCAGAGTGAGAGAAAGCCCAGAGCTCTCTATCTGCCCTGCTAATGCTCAGGTGCCTATGAGGCTGGGGGAAGGGGGGGTGGGGGAGACGGGGGCTGCCTGCTGCTGTGCTGCTCTAGGTCCTAGCACTGCTCACTGTTACTCCTCACATTAGGACTCAAGACTGTCCTGAGCATTGTGATAGGGGTGCAATGGCCTACAAACTCCCAAAATATGAATGCTGAATAGGATACCCCCATGGGATGGGAATGACTCAGTGGTACAGCGTGCTCTAACCACGCACACACAAAAATGTAGGTTCCACTGGGTTGAAGGCATGACTCAGCAAGCTCAAGGCTTTGAGTTCAAATTCTAGTACTGCCAAAACACAAAGTAAGTTTGGTACAACACAAAACAAAGCTGCAAAGCAAAGATGGAGATGAAACCAGGGGCTGGTGACTCATGCCTTTAATCCTGTCTTCCCCAGGAGGCTGAGATTTGAGGATCACAGTTCAAAGCCAGCCCAGGCTGTTAAGTCCATGAGATTCTTATCTCCAATTATCCACCCAAAAGTCAGACGTAGTGATGTGGCTCAAGTGGTAGAGTGCTAGCCTTGAGCACAAAAGTTCAGGGACAGTGCCCAGGCCCCAAGTTCAAGCCTCAGGACCAGCATCCAAAAAACAAAAATTCCATTTCTGTATGTTATATAATATATAAAACTTCAATAACAATAGCACATGATTATAATTTAAGCTGAATAAATATATCAGAAGGATATCCTCAAGAAGTTTTCTTTTGTCAATAAAACTTCAGTTTAGGCCAGATTGACCCTAACCCTCCTTGGTGGAGCCTGCCTTGGAGAAGCGTGTGGGGACACAGGCTGAAGCAAAGAACACAGGGCCTGTACTGCTGTGCCTGAAGCAGCAGCTGCCAGAAGTCTTAAGGCTTTCTCTAGCTTGGAGGGGAATCCCAGCACACGAACCCAAAGCACCTTTGCCCCCTTACCTCTCCAAGATAAACAAAGGACAAGGCACAGCAGCTGGCTTCAATTCTGCCTAAACCAGATCCCACTGCCTTCCATTTCCAAGACTTTTCCCTCTCCACTCCAGGAAATTCCCGTGGAACAGGCTCAGCAGGGCAGCCACCAAGGAGACAGTGACCCAATTGCACCCAGACACTTTCTAATGTCATAAAAGATGATGAATGTTGCATCATGTATATCGAACAGTGAAAACCTAGTATACTATGAACTTCCAGAGAATCTGTTCTAAAAAGAGAAGAAAACCATACACCAGGTCAAAACTCCCATGGGTTTAACCACAGCAGTAGCCATTTGAAACCAAACTCACATTTGCATGAAGTTCCACAGGTTTTGTTGCCAAAAAGGCTCAGAGCACTGAGTAACCCTTAATAAGAATAAAGGTCAGGACTCTTTCATAAAGGAGCACATATGGAGCCATACAGGTAACGTGATCCCCACAAGCAGCCGCAGGGAAGACCTGTGAATGGACTAAACTATGTTTCTCCCTGAAATGCCTGTGTGGAAGTGTTCACCCATGACAGGAGGGTATTAGTAGGCTGGCCTTTGGGAAGTGACTAGGTTTGATAAGGCATCAAGCTGGGAGCCTCATGATAAGATCCAGGCATGTTCCCGAAGAAGAAATGAAGAGCTAGCACTCCTGAAAGAAGGCACAGGAAATGGAGCAGTGTGTAAGTTAGGGAGAGCTCATCAGGAACCACACAGCTGGAACCTTCATCTTGGACCACCCAGCCTCCAGAACTATGAGAAATAAATGCCTGATGGTTAAGCCACTGAGTTACAGTGAAACTTCATATACTAAAGTAGGCAGCAGGCCAAGTTTGGCTCATGGATCATAGCCAACCCATGTTAAGAACGTAAATGTGGAGTCAGGAAGCCCTGGGCAGCCCCCCATGTCACCACTTCCTGGCCAGGGGACCTTGGACTGGGCTGGCCATCTATTCTTTAAGCCTCAGATACCTTGTTGAGAGGACTGCATACTGTACTATGGACAAAGCACTCAGGACCCAGCACAGGCTCTCAAGACAGCAGCAATGTTAACCGTCACCATCAGCCCCACACTGACCTGCACATGGTAGCAGACAACTCAAACTATATTTATGCCAAGTGTCCTCAGAAGACATTGACAGTATCAACATTTTAGGGTGTAGGACCTGGCCTGCCATTGAGTTCTTAGCTCATTAGATGTCTCAAAGAGAACATGGTATACAGAATTATCTTGAATGAGCAAGGTTTTTCATTTGGAAGAGCTGCTTCTGTGAAAATGCTGCCATCAGTTCTTAACAATACATATCAAAGATAAGAGATTGAGTAAATATCAGACAAGGAGTGTCAGCAATGCAGTATGCCCACTGCCACTGTACAGTCCCATAAGTAACGAATCAACAGCATTTCAAATCAACATAATCATACATAACTAATCAGACATAACTAATCAACATAATCAGACATAACGAATTAACATAATCAGAAATAACTAATCAGACATAACTAATCAACAGCAGCAGTCTCTCTCTCTCTCTCTCTCTCTCTCTCTCATGGGATCTGCACAAGCCATTAGAACATGGCTCTCTAAGCAATTATAACACAGACTCTATTCATCCATCTTGACTAGAAAGCACTGGTAAACTGTGCGATCTTTTCAATACATTTAAAAACTTTTGTCACTGATGTGGATTGCTCACTGAAATTAAGAATAACTGTTTTTGGCTGAGCGCCAGTGGGTCATATGTGTAATCCTTGATATTCAGGATGCTAAGATTTGAGAATCATAGTATGAAGCCAGCCCTGGCAGGAAAGTCCAGGAGACTCATCTCCAATTAACCATAAAAAAGCTGGAAGTGGAGCTTTCATCCAAGTGGTAGAATACCAGTCTTGATCAAAAAAGCTATGGGACATTGGTGCACAGACGCCGAGTTCAAACCCCAAAACTGGCACAAAAAGAAAAAAAATAATTTTTGTTGTTGTTGTTAGTTGTGGGACTTGAACTCTAGGCCTGGGTGCTGTCCCTCAGCTCTTCAGCTCAAGGCTAGTGCTCTACCACTTGAGCTATAGCGCCACTTCCAGTTTTCTGGTGGTTTATTGAAGGGGAAGGTGGCTCAGTGGTAGAGTGCTTGCCTTGCATGCATGAGGCCCTGGGTTCTATTCCTCAGCACCACATAAGCAAAAAGAAAAAAGCCGGAAGTGGCACTGTGGCTCAAGTGGTAGAGCGCTAGCCTTGAGCTGAAGAGCTGAGGGACAGCACCCAGGCCTAGAGTTCAGGCCCCACAACTGGACCCAAAAAAAAAAAAAGAATTTCATGGACTTCTCTGTCCGGCTGGCTTTGAACTGGCTGAGCCACTGGTGCCTGGCTCCAAGTTGTCCTTTTTTCTGCCTCTTACTATTTATATATAACGGACAAGTCACCCAACATCTCCTGCTTCTTTATCCATCAAATATCATTTACAGCCAACAAGCTTTGGTGGCGAAAGCCTGTAATCCTAGCTAGTCAGGAGGCTGAGATCTGAGGATAATGGTTTAAATAATGGTTTAAAGCCAGCCTGGGCAGGAAAGTCTGTGAGACTCTAATCTCAATTAACCAACAGCAAGCTGGAAGTGGAGCTATGGCTCAACGTGGTAGAGCACTAGCCTTAAGCAGAAACTCTCAGGGTCAGCTCCCAGTCCCTGAGTTCAAGCCCCAAATGACAACAACAAAGATCATTTACAATGAGATTATTACAGCTCTAAACACAGCCAATCCCCATTATTTGTACTTTCTGTATTTCAAATGAATCTATCCACTAAAATTATTGCACAGTCCAAAAGTAAAACCTGGAAGTTTTTGCAGGCATTTATGGACCTACGCAGAGCAGCAGGAAGCCAGGATCACTGGCACTCATGTTTACAGCTGAAGTCGAACAAGGTGACACTGACTTCTTTCTGGTTCCCTCTAAACAAATGCCTCTTTTGCAGAGCAATAAGTGTCACAGTTTGCACACTTGTCCTGTTTGCTCTTCAAAATGGCCCCCAAGTGTGTGCTAGAGTGCTTTTTAATGTTTAAAAGCAAGAAGGCAGAGATGTGCCTTACAGAGAAATCACAAGCTCTCTTCCAGTATGTATAACACTGTGGTTGGCGTGAGTCCAATGTTAATGAGCCAACAATACATATTATATAAGGTGTCTCTAAATAGAAATACACAGTCAGGCACTGTTGGCTCAAGCCTGTAATCCTAGCTATTCAGGAGGGTGAGGTCTGAGGATATCGGTTCAAAGCCAGCCTAGGCTAGCTTTAAGACTCTCATCTGCAATTAACGACAAGAAAACTGGAAGTGGAGCTGTGGCTCACAGTGGTAAAGCAGAGCTCAGGGACAGCACCCATGCCCCAAATTCAAGCCCCATGACTGACAAAAATAATAATAACAATAATAATAACAAATAATTACATAGAAATACACAGAGAACAGGTCTATACTAATTGGCTGACAAAACCACGGTGACTGGGGAACTGCAGGAACTTAATCCGTACTGGTAGCTCTCGTTCAGCATACACTAACTCACACTCACAGCAACTTCAAGAACAAAACTACCACCACCACCAAGATGTGACTATTTCTACATGTGATACTGTGAATTTATGACATCAAGAGAGAGTCTTTGTGTAATCAAATACTCTCATGCTACAAGTTTTACTTAAGACAAAGGGTAATAAATAGAAGAGAGAGTAACAAAAGTATTTCTGGGGAACTCCATGTTTTAGCTGAAGAGCTGTCTTCCTGCCTTCATGAGACCTCCACAAAAAGAACATGGCCTGCTCCTCTCCCCACCACCGCCAGGGCACTCTGAGCACATGAGCCAGCCCTAGAGGGCTCTGGGTAAGCAAGGGGTGTCTGTGGCTGGGAGGAACCCCATTACACCATCAAGTTTCAATGTGGTACCTGCAAGCAGTCAAGGGATGTGCTGACCACACGGGGGGACTTGGACTGGCAAGCCAGCTCGAATGGAAGGAAGTACTTGTCTGCTTCGATGAAGTTCGCCTTTGGTGGGGCTGCAGCACCAAGCCTTGGAAAAGAGCAAAAGGCCAAGAGGGGAAATGAAAAAAACAAAACTTGCTTTCTCTACTCTTTACTATGACTTCCCATTCTGCTTGTGATCATTTACTTATTTATTTTTTTGTCGGTCGTGGGGCTTGAACTCTGGGCCTGGGCGCTGTCCCTCAGCTCAAGGCTAGCGCTCTACCACTTGAGCTACAGCGCCACTTCTGTGATCATTTACTTAAAAGCACCTGCAAACTCAATCTTGAGGCCAGTTAATAGATGCAGACACGGGCAGTGCTGCATGTGAAGAGCAGGATCTCTGACTTGCACGCTGAGTCTGTAGTGTCCCACATGCAATCTGGTGGCAGCGATGCCAGACCTGTATTTCCAAAATGCGAACACTCGCAGAGCAGGCCAACCTTGGGTCTAGGCAAGCACAAGCAGGGGCTCTATCTCTCCTCTCAAGAAGAGATACAAGGCCTTAACTTGACCTTCTTTAGCCTTCCCCCGAAGTACAAAAATACTGCACCAGTAACATGTCAGACACAGATTCTACTGAGTGCCCAGCACGGAGCCAGGGGATTAGAAAACAGGTAAAGGGACAGAGAAGGGGTTACCCTGACCATGACCTACCCCTTTGTGCTATTTCAGCAAGGACAAAGTGCTATTGCTTACCTCTGCTTTTCTATTTCTGCTTTAATTTCATCTGGTGGGGAAGAAAGAAAAGCATATTAGTAGCATGCAACATTTATGGAAAAAAACTGTACAATACAGTATTTGGATTAAAAAAATGTTTGTGAGATTTTGAAACACTGAAATCTTGATATAAAGTGAACCACTAAATTACAACAGCAGTAATCCCAGCTACTGCGGGCAGCTCCTATGTGATGGGCATTGCAGTAAGTACACGTTTAGCTCAGTTGACACAGCAAACCTAGGAGTGGGTATTGCTTGTTTCCTCCATCTTATTTACATCAGCGTTTCTCAACCTCCCCGCTGTTGGCGTCTGGAGGTAGAGAATTCCTTATTCTGGGGCTGTCCTGGGCAGGGAAGGGTGTGTAGCAACATCCCTGATGTCCATTCACTGGAGCCAGTAGCTCTTCCCACACTCTGCAGTGTTTTGTGACAAGGTCTTACTACGTACGTGTAGCTGGCCTGGAACATGAGATCCTCCCACCTTAGCTTCCCTTTCAAATGCTAGGAAGTACTGAAAAACAATGTTTCCAGACATTGCTGCATGTCCCCTAAGCAAAATCCCCTGTTGTGAACCAATGGTTTCAATGAGAAGACCCAGACAGAAAGAGCTGGGGAAGCAAATTGGTTGGTGTGCTGGCTCAAGTCTGAAATCTAGCTACTTAGATCAGGAGCCCATGGTTCAAGTCCAGCTGGGCATAAAAGTTCACAAAATTCCATCTCAACCAAGGGTTGGTCACAGGGGCACACATTCTGTTCTTCTGGGTACAGAGATGCACAATGATTGTACACAGTGACACAGGGAAGCACAAATAGAATCACAGGCCAAGCTGGCCCAAATATAAAGTAACATATTATCTCAAAAAATAACAATGTGCCAGGCACTGGTGGCTCATGCCTGTCATCCTAGCTACTCAGGAGGCTGAGATCTGAGGACTGGGTTCAAAACCAGCCCGGGGAAAGAAAGTCCATGAGGCTCTTATCTCCTATAAACCACTTGAAAACCAGAAATGGTGCTGTGGCTCAAGCAGTAGAGCACTTGCCTTGAGCTGAAGAGCACAGGGACAGCGCACAAACCCAGAGTTCAAGCCCCACAACCGACCAAAACAACAACAACAAACAAACAAACAAACAAAAAACCAATGTAGGTCAGACCCTGGTGGCTCACGCCTGTCATCCTAGCTTTCCAGGAGGCTGAGATCTAAGGATCAAAGTTCAAAGCCAACTTAGGGAAGTCTGTGAGACCCTTATTTCCAATTTACCACCAGAAAACCACAAGTGGTGCTATGGCTTAAAGTGGTAGAATATTAGCCTTGAGCAAAAGAGCTCAGAGACAGCATCCAGGTCCAGAGTTCAAGACCCATGAACAACAAAAAAATTAAAATTAAAAAATAACCAATGCAGCCAGGTGCTGGTGGCTTCTACTAAGAATTGCAGACCAGCCATGACAGGACAGCCAGGTGGAAGTATCCACAGTAAGCAGATTCAGTCTAAATATGTTCAAAGTAGCTGGAACTTAGGTCATATGGTCCCATCTGGATAAATTTGGAAAACACAATTGTTTTTCCCTACTAATAAGTAGGAAAAGAAGGATGAGGGTGAAGTATGTGCTGGGTACCATACCGCTAGCCTATTCGTGCTATAGGTAGGCGATGCAGATAGAGCTAATGTATATCTGTTAGCAGAATGATGTGGAGGTGGTGGGGGTGTTATTCAATCTCCGGAATCTTGATTTCCTAGTCTAGAAACTTTGGAGGCTGTGGGGAAGGACGCCACTCCTAACCTCCTATGAGAGAACCCTGTTAGATTAGTGAAGAGGGCAGCAGCCAGCACACAGTGGGCAGTCAATAAATGGCAGCTGCTTGCTGTTATCTTAAAATAGGAGTCAGTGAGAGTGTAAAATCTCTAGTATCACTGCTGGAAACAAGCCAAAGGAAAAAGCAAAGGAGCAGGACCACCCACTGGCGTGCCAGACGGTGCACTGATGGCTGGTGCTCACCGCACCTTCACCACAGCCCTCACCCCAGGAGGCCACAACCTAACACAGGGAGGAACCCTGGGCGCCCAGTGGGCCACCTGCTACTCTTTACCGGTGCCTCCCCCACCTGCTAGTGCGGTGGCAGCCAATGCACAAACAGGGATGGAGCCGCAGGGAGAAAGCCACAGTCCTCCTGGAACTTGGTGCTGCATGTCCCTATCACCTACAGGAGTGGCCACTAGACCCATTCAGCAATGACTCAGGCTCCAACTCCCCCTCTCCTTCCAGGATGAGCCCACCAAGGATCCTCACCAACTCCACACCCAACCCTGCCATCAAGAGATCCACGTCCACAAATCCTACATCACTCCCTACTACACAAACTCTCCTCTGATCCCCTCTTCCACACTGGGAATCATGTCCCCATGGAAAGCAGGAACACTTCCGGTTCCTTCTTGGTCTCTGCCCATAGCATCCCCTCCCCTGCAGTGCTCCAGGGAGGACCTTTCTACAGCTGAGCATCAGCCTTCCTTCCACTGCATTCTCCACCAGAGATCTCATCAGCAGGAGGCTTTTCAGAATGACAGGCCTTCCGTGGCCACCAACCCATCTGCCCTTTGGTCTTAACTTCCAGAAAAATCCCAAACTTGGACCACACTAGTGCCAACTTGAGAGCTGCCTCCACTTACCAGGGTGGGCAGACAGGCTGGCAGGTCGGTGGACAGCCACCTGCAGCCTCAGGGGGGTTTGAATGCACTCAGTCAATCCCTTCTCCCCTCTTCCATCACGACTACTGCACAAGACCCTCCTCTGACAACCTCCCTCTCCCCTAACTGCCCCCATCCCACCGCCTCTCAGGGTCCATGGAGCGATGCTCCCCTCCATCTGAAACAAGCTCAAGCCTTCTCTACCTTCCAATAAAGAAAAACAAAGGGAACATTTCCTCTTGACAGCCCAGGCAAGGGCCCCGTTCCTCCACTATTTCAGCACACCACCTCAAGCCACATGTCCCCAAACCCGACGGGCGTGAAGGCAGTCCCCATCGGCCCGGACCTCCCTGGCATCTGACTGCTGACCTCACACTCCTGGTCAGTGCTATAATCACAACTTCCCCAACTTATCCTCTAACTTCAACTTGCCTCTGCTCCAGGGCTGGCACCATTGCAGACACACCTCTTCCGCCCAGCCAGGAAAGGCCAGAGGGCCTCAGGCCCAGGCCTTCTCCCCACTGCCCTCCATGATTCCTCCTCAGAAATGGCTACCCTACAGTTCTCTTCAGCCACTTCCTCTTCCTGTTCAGCCACATGCTTGCTATCTATGTGTGACATGCTTGCTATCACATGCTGACTTTTGTCCCCAGCTGTGACCCATGGAGAAGTCATTGGCTCATGAGAGCACCCACTTCATCTACTGATGAGTTTGCACTGGGGGATATCAGGTGGGGCCTGGCTGGAGGGAGCAAATCTCTGGGGATGTGCCCCTGAACACTTAGCTTTCCACTCCCTGATTCCAGCAGCCACAGGTGAGCAGCTCTGCTCCACCCCAACCTCTTCTCCATGAAGTGCTCCCTTACCTCAGGCCAATGAGGAACTGAAACTATGAGCCTTCCTAGCCAGGCAATAGTGGCACATGCCTGTAGTACTATTCAGAGGGCTGAGATTTGAGGATTGCAGTTCAAAGCCAGCCTCGGCAGAAGTCTAGGAGACTCTTATCTCAAATAAACTACTCAGAAAAAGCTGGAAGTGGTGCTTTGGCTCAAGACGTAGAGCACAAGCCTGGAACAAAAGAAGCTCAGGGACAGCACCTAGGCATTGAGTTCAAGCCTCAAGACCACCACCAACAACAACAAAAAGAATAAATCCTTCTTCTCTAGAGTTGTTTCCCCCGAGTACAAGCTAATCCAAGGTTCAAAGGCAAAACGCTCAGATAAGCCTCCACCCAGTTCCTCCTTCAGCTCAGCACCATTCTCCAGCAGGAAGCAGCACAGAGTCCCAGAAGCCTTCTTTCTACGCCCTCAGCCCAGCCCAGCCCATCGCCATGTCCTCTCTTGTTGCTTCCTACCCAGACCTGCGCTCTACTCCCATGCCACCTCTCCCGCAGGACAGCAGTCCCTCTGCTCTTCCTCTAGGATACTCTGAACACATGTGGCTCAGTTTCTTTTTTTCAAAGTGCAAACCTAGCCATCCTAGCACCTTCTTCCCTGTTCTAAACTCTTTGGGCCACATTTCTGCCCTAAAACTCACCTCTCACGGTGACCTCCAAGGCTCAGCTGGGTGGGGCTCTGGCCACTTCTCCCCTTTTGTCATGTTCTAACCAACAAGACCTCTTCCAGCTGTCTCTGCCACAGGGGCATATCTCAGGCAATTCCCTCTGCTTAAACACCTGCCCAGTGCCCAGTCTGTGTCTGTCCAACCTATTTACCTCAGATCCATCCTTCAGACCTCAGAGCCAGCTTCCGCAAGGAAGCTTCCCGCAGCCCTCTGTCTAATGCCCAAGCAGAGCCGGGCCTTTCCCTTGGGACTTCTTGAACCACACTCCATCAGAACCAGGTCCATGTTTGTTTTGCTCCCCTTGCATCCTGACAGCAGGTGCCACACCCAACTAAATCTCTTCTGAATGAGGGTCTCCCTGGTCTGCTCCATGAAGGGACTGAATGCAGAGCAGCAGACATGCTCAGCCCACTGTGCTGGACTGAGGGAACGCTTAAGAACTTGATGTCCCAGCACCAGAAGCCAGTCGCCCACTAAACTATGAAACCTAACAAAATACCAGGCTAAAAAAATCTGAATGTCACCAAGACAGTAAACCAAAACAAATCTCTGTCAGAAAGAGTCAAGGAATGAATCAGCAAACGTAAAATTCTTTTCTAAGATAACTTCACTGGAAAGAAAGTCAAGTCATTTCCTGGCAGGCTCCGAAGCCTGGAGAAAATGGTGAGAAGAAACACAGTTCTGAGCTACTTATACAGAGGCTTCCATGTTCCTGCGACTCAGGTACACATTTGCACCCGCTCACTCTCCTGCATCAGGATCGGC